TTTTACACTGCGAATATCGTGTATAACAACAACTCACTTCCGAGAGTAAAGAAATTTAGATGCCGCGGGCAAAATTCAGCAGCATGTCAATTTAATAATGCTTAATGGCAAGAATCATTTTGGGCAATAAATTTATAAGTGCATATGGCATTCGCAGGGGAAGAAGTGGAATGCCACTTGATATCACCAACCACCGGAAGTCGGAGGCTCCTCCTGCCCTCCATTTCTGGGTTTCCCTCCCCGGGGGCAAACGGATGGGAGGTATGGATGGCATGGCATACTCCGGGCAGCTTCTTGTGGCAAATATTTACCTTTTGGGGCCTTTGGGCTCCCGCATGTGTCGGTCGTCTGTCTGGCTGTGTGCTCTCTATGAGAAAATAACATTTGCAATTTTAAGCACTTGAGACTTATCACTGGGAAGTGGCCTGGATATCTGTATATGTACTTATTCCTTCGTATAGCGGCTCTGTCAATTTCTTACATCTCGGGCTAATGGCAAATTCCCATTTATTACTCTCCTGCACTTTTTTCGTTATTACTCTTGTGGCTAAATTGTGATTATTTATTAATTAAATTTGTTATGACAACACAAGATGCAAAGTCATTTGTTTCCCTCGCTGCGTGTGGGTTGTTGTGGCTTTTGGCCAAAGGCCCAAGGAAGCCACGTAAATCCAAAGCCCAGCCGGGCAGTCTGTCCGGGCTATTATTTTAAGACTTAGTCGGGTGGTTGTGCTGCTTTTGGGCTATTTTATTGAGTTTTCCTCTCCCACTCCCCGTTTTCAAACCCTTTTTGGCCCACACACACACGTCGCATAACAAAGGCTTAAATTTTTAATGTTGAGCAGACGGTTAAGCATAATTATGTTTGTCGATGGGGCGGAGTTCAGATTTTCGACCCCGAACAGGTGCACAAAAGTAAATTGATGTGGCCCCGGAATTTTGAGGTGGCTTAAAGACCCCGATAAAGTTTCCTCGCTGGCTTTAAATGAACCGCGATTTAGTGGCTCTGTCCAGAGTAAAGCAACTTGAAATCAACGCGAATGGGACATGTTCCTGCCACCTGGCACTTCTGGGAATATTCATCCCGCCAGCACTTTTCACTTTCATGTCGAAATGCGTTCGGCTGAGCAACAAGAGTTATGTAATTGACTCAAAATATCCTCGCAACGTCTGAAATTTTAAGCAGAAGCAAAGTTTTCGCGCGACGACAAGGAAAAATTGCCAGAAAAGAAGATTTCTTATTTTCCGAGCGTTTTAATTTGTGCGAAATTAAGCAAAAAATAAACTCATTTTGTTAGCTGCAGCACCAGCAGCACAAACATGGCAAAACTTTTTCGATAGCTGTCTGACAACAAAGCGAAAATCGAAAAAAAAAATAGAAAAAAAATGGCGGAACAACTTTTAGCGGAAGTTGATGGCAGGAAAACTCAAGTAAAATGTGCACGAAATTGTCTCTGCGCGAAAGAAAAATCTATGCGATTGAGGAGAAATTGCAAAATTCAATACCCGCAGTCGTCTGAGCCTCGGGCCTTTTCCATTACGGCATCTTCATTCCACCGGCGGGCCTCCTCCGTATTTTGGCCATGACTTAGTGCCGACTTCATGCAAAGCTCTCCCGACCTGCCGACGGTGATTTAGTTGTTAGCCGGCGGACAAACATTTCATGGCTCGATGTGCTCAATTCAATCAATTGCCATCGACAGACAGCCGACTGCTAGGATACCCCTATCCTCTTACCGTCCTGGTGCAATTTTAATCAAAATTCGCATGTGTGTGGCGGCTGATATATTGCGGCTCGGCTGCCTTCAGTTGTCACAGGTTGGCGTAATGGCGACATCGCAGGAGATGAACAAGGATGTCGGGCCAGGGATTTGCTTGCGGTGAGAATATCAAAGGCTTACGGACAGGTTAAGCCTTTGTTACCGCACTCGATATTTGGCAATGTCGGGCATTTCCAATTTATTTAAATCGGCAAAATCAAGTTATTCCCACGACGCACACAAAAAAAGCTCGCCGGGATCAAATCAATATGAGCATGGTAAATTTCTGGTATTTATGGGCATATCGTTTTTATCATGCAATATTGAATTCGAAGTGGCCCTTTGTTTACATTTGAACATGTCTAATTGAGAGGCCGCATGTCGAGTCAAAATTGATACCACATAATATCAAATTGATTATAGTTTCATATAGAAGTTTTGTTTGGGTGTACTTACATTCCCTTTACTACAAGTCTTAAATTATGTTGTGGGGTTAGTCAGAAAACGATGGAGATTTTGTTTACGGAATCACATAAAATAATCTTTAATTTAGCTAAAGAATGCTCATAATTTCCAGGAAAAACAGGGCATACAATTAAAAACAGTTTGTTTCAGGGCTGATTTATTTATTTTTAAACATTTTTAGTCAAGACTTGCGTTTCTAAAATCGAAAGTATTCGGTGGAACAATATTTGACTGTTGACCCAAGGACCTACCTACTACGGACTGTTTGCCAGCTCAAAGGACTCGCACGCAACGCAGCCAAATGATTTCCTTTTGTTATTCAACGGCCATAGAGGAGGGCTCCATCCATTTGGCTAATTGTTCAGTTTGTTTTACGTGTAAGGCTACAAATTGGCCGAAGCACACGTTTCCCCAGACAGCCAGGTAGTCGAAACCAGTGCTCGAAACCCGAATGCACGCTGCGCTGCTCCGCACTCCCCCGAAAAAGCCCAGAAAGCGTCCTGCCGGCTGTCAGGTTCATAATAATTTAAATGCTGGGCACACAGAGTGACATGGCAAAGACAAACAGAGGTCAAGCTGCAGCAGTGGAGCCGTTGCAGCAGAGGCAACTGCAAATGGCTACGTGACCGGATGCACTGCAGCGGTTTGCATTTCAAATCCAAAGGCGGCAGCAACAGAATTAGCACGACAAAGGGTCGCCAGTCGGAGTGTTCTAACAACCGGGGGGATTAGGCAACCGGGGAGCGAACGGAGGGTCGGCTTGAGTTAATTTGCCCTGGCAAGCAACAAGCTCTGCGCAAATAGCAAACGACAAACGGTCTCCCATGCCCATGCCCATGCCCATACCCGCCCATTCCAAATCCGAGTCCGAGTCCAAAAGGCTTGGGCCTTCAGATCAACAGCCGAGCAAACAAATGGCGTTGCAATTGAGCACGTTTTTGTCGAGCGATGGAAATGAACTGCGACACGGCGATTCAGTTTGGCCAACGGCAAGAGTTGAAACAGAAGTCGCCGTCGGAGTCAGAGTTCGGGTCTAAGTTTTAGCCTGTCCAAAGACCTGTCCCCGGTCCATGTGGCAGGTCAAGTGGCATGCGGCAGTTGACAGTACGTGCGCCCAAAGATGTTTTCGCAGGATGTGTGTGCCACTAAGTAAGCAAATTGCTGGGGGATGAGTGGAAGCTAAACTGCGCTGAGTCGTAGAATTCCATTTCAATGAAAAGTGAAGAAGTAGTAATGCACTTTTTTAAGAAAATTAGGTATATATCTTCGAAACCTCCCAGATAATATTAAAGCATATCGAATTGAGGTGCCTGCATATAAAATCAAAATTAATAAATCAAATCTATCATCGTTTCATATAAAGTTTTTTTTTTTAGGTCTACCTATTATATTTATGTAGATTTTTGATTAAAATAAATCAGAAATTCCAACCTTGTCCAAAGAAGCAAGCATAACTATTGAATAACATTAATTTCTTTGATGTCTTACAAGATAGCCCAAACCAAATGCGTTAACCACCTTAGTTTATTAACTAGGACATTTTGTGCTCCCCGTTCTCTTACTAGTATCGAAGAACTTTATTTGGGGCCAGAGAATGTGCATGTCCCTTGGCTTAACGGCTCGAAAAAATGTAATTGGAAACGAAGCAGTTGAGACGAGAGACAACAAGGCTGTCCCTTTTAAGTGGACCGATCACGCTGGCTGCAAATGGCTAAATGCCCCAATGCATATTGAAGGACAACAGGCACCTAGAGAATCCTGGCCAAAAGATGATGGCAAAAAGTCAACCTAGGGGGAAAGAAAAAATAGCCCGGCAGACTGGGAGGGGGAAATCATGCGGCAGAGAGGCAAACAAGGTCCTGGGCCAACCGCAAAAGGGATCAACTTTCGGCCCTGTATTTTTTCTACGCCAGTTTACAGCAGCAGACGGGTCCGGCATAAAAGAAACATAACTAATTTGCATAAAATGCGGAAACACGGCAGAGCAGCACACAGATATCTCAGTTTGTTGGGAACGAAGGGAGCTGGAAACCAAACTTTGTTGTCGGAAATCGGGTAAAGTCGCCAGTGGAGAGTTGTCCCCAAAAGCCAAACCCGCTGCGGTTACGACCCGAGTTCCCAGGTACTGTGTGAGTTTTCCAAACTTTGCGCAAAATTTACAAAATACTAAACTAAGTGAAAACCACCAAAGTCCGGCCAGCCCAAGTCTTTAAGTGAGCGAAACATTTAGCATGACAAAGTGAAAGTGGAGTGTGTGGCTGGGTGGGTGAAAGTTGGCACTGGTCACCATATTAGTGGTTTGCAAGGTATTCCAAGATAAGACAAAGACGCAGGGCCTTCGAGGCGTGCACAGATAAAAATATTTATACACATAAAAAATTCGCCGGGATTAAATCACAACAAATTTTACGCATATCATTTTTACCATGCAATACTGGTATAATTGATATTAAATAATATTATTTTGCCAATTCTCTCTTTTGAGATTCTCTGACTTCTAAAATCAGAGGAAAAAACAGTTTGGTTTAGTAACCTACCTAAAATAACGGACCGAACTTAGTTTTACCATTTTTAAGCCTAATAAATATAGATTAAATAAAAGTTACAAAATCATGCATGATTCCCATGGGTAAAGTCCTCGAACCACATATATATTTCTTCCTGTGCTTGGGAATCTTTCTCTGGCTTTTCGTATTATGCAAAAGATTTTCTCTTCCCTTACAAAGTGGAATATCTTAACATGCTGATATCACGTTTCACTGTCTCTCCTTGCAGCCTGGTCAACCAGACGATGCCAGATGCCTCAAAAGTCCGGATGATGGTGAGCCGTGCCCTGAGCGTTTGGGAGAACAACTCGAAGCTGACTTTCCGGGAGGTCTACAGCGACCAGGCCGACATACAGATAGTCTTTGCACGGTGCGTACTCAAAATTCCAGGGGGATTGGGGATGTATGGATCCGAGCTTGGTAGGTGGGGAGATCATAAAAAAGCGAGTCTTTAGTGCCATAAACAAGCGCACATAAAATTGCACTTAAAAGCAGGCGAACGATAAATAAGCCAAGTATTAAATCCATGGAACGACGTCGATGATGAAATGCCACCGATGACAAAGTCGATGGGCATGCGAGGAGCGACTGGATCCCGTCAGAATCAAAGAGTTTATGTGGCCGCTGCTTGTTCTTAGATAAGCTGTGAATATGATTTCCCCCTGGCCGTGCTCGTAATTCCTCTGAAACACCGGACTAATCCGGGGCATCCCATCTGGATCTCCGCCTCTTTTGTCTCTCCACAGACTCCAGCACGGCGATGGCTATAAATTCGATGGACCTGGTCAGGTGCTGGCCCACGCCTTCTATCCCGGCGAGGGGCGTGGCGGAGATGCGCACTTCGATGCGGACGAGACATGGGACTTCGATGGCGGAGCCGACGATAGTCGAGGTGAGTAAATCCGGAAGCCTAGCCATATAATTGATACCACATAACATCAAATCGATCATCGTTTCATATCAAGTTTTTTGTTGGGTGTAGGCACTATAATCTTAATGATCTTGCATTCGGATAGGCTAACATGCTTTTGATTTTTGAATAGGGTTATTGGTAAATACACCTTTTTAAATTTAAAAGCAATACTGTCATTTCTAGTGTTACTTCATCCATCCACAGATTATTACAATTTCTTTTATATCCCGGGTGTCTTGATTAGTTACATTAGCTCTTAGTTCAATGTTATTTTTTGTCTAGCTTAGTTTTCCCCATTTTGTTTAAGTGCAGGGCTTTAAGTAGAAAAACCACACGCGGCAAAATCAATAAATGCTGCATACGTTGCGGTAGGAAATGGGTCGGGAAGATGGCCAAACCTCGAGCCCAGGAGAAGAGGAAATAGAAGGGCAGACCATGACTGGCGACGCGTTGCCTGCAGCCTGCCGCTTGCGTTTTGTAATTTAGCACAATAAATCGTCAGCCCAGACCCCGTGAGCCCCTGAAAACCCCGAAGAGCTCTTCGGCATTTTTAATGGTTTTTAATGCCAATAAAAAATTGTCAGCATGACGCGTGACGTTGGCAGCCATTTTAAAATGTTGCAAGCGTCGCCATTTTTATGCCACTTACAAAGTCGTCAAGGCGACGAACCGAACCCCTCCTTACCCCCCTTTTTGCCCACCATTAAGCAGTCAGCGTATTTATGTTGCATTCCGTGTCCTGTCGTTGCAGGCACCAATTTTCTGAACGTGGCCCTGCACGAACTGGGTCACTCCCTGGGACTGGGCCACTCCTCGGACACGAATGCGATCATGTTTCCGTGGTACCAGAACAACGAGGTGAACGGCCAGCTGCCCGACGACGATCGCCATGGCATCCAGGAGCTGTACGGCTCGAAGGAGAAGACCTGGGGACCCTATAGACCCCGTCCCACGACCACCACAACCACGACGACCATGCGTTCGTTGAACTACTACCCGGAGAAACCAGCCAACAGACCCCGGTATAATCCCAACAAGGATTGGGAGCGGGCCAGAGAGCGCCAGGAGCTGGAACGGAGGCGCCAGGAGCAGGAGCGTCAAGAGCAGGAGGATCGTCGCCGGGAACGGGAGCGGCAACGGGAGCGGGAACGGGAGCAGGAACGTGAGCAGGAACGAGAGCGGGATAGGCAGGAGAGGGAGCGGGTGCGGCTGGAAATGGAACGGGCGAATCGGGAGCGGATTACAACAACCACCAGGAGATCCACTAGGCCATACCAAAATGGAGGGCACCGGCAGAACCACCACCACAGCAAACCGCGTAAGCCCAAGCCGGACACCTGCATGACCTACTACGACGCCATCTCGATGATTCGCGGCGAACTTTTCATCTTCCGAGGACCGGTGAGTTAAATAAAGATAAAGGCCTACATCAACTTTAACCTATGCATCTCTAATCACAGTTCCTTTGGCGCATTGGAGCATCGGGTCTGTATCCTGGTTATCCTACGGAGACCAGGAGGCACTGGTCTGCTCTTCCCGAAAATCTCACCAAAGTGGATGCGGTATATGAAAACAAACAGCGACAGATTGTGTTCTTCATTGGTGAGTTTAAAATGTTTCATTGATGATTAAATAAACCATTATTACAAAGTTTCGAAATTAAATCAGAATATTAGTTTTAAGTAGTCAAGAATAACCCTAAAAGTTAGTGGAATGAATTTCTTATATTTGTTTGGGAGTAATAGGGTCTCTGACATATGTACTACCTGCAATAGAAAAGTTAAAAATATTAGTATAAAAATTATTAGATGGTTATAACTCGGTATTGGTGCTATAAGATATTATTTAATGGTCGGAAACGTCTCCTTCTGTTCACTAGAAATCTGAAAATACAAATTAGGGTTTGAGTACATAAGTACTTTTAAAATTTTTTTTAAAAAAAGTTAAAAAATGTTAAACTTTTTTTACTTATTTATTACAGTAAAGTACTAGTTAGTAAACTTAGTAATTTTGTAACTATGTAATTTCCTTTTAGGGTCAGTGCAAGCTCATACCACTGTTAGCAAGTAGTTTATAAGTCGGTGCAATAAATAAATATATAAACTGGTAATGTATAATATATTTTCTAAAACTTCTAATTTGTAATTCTCCTTTTAGGTCGTCAGTACTATGTGTTCAACTCGGTGAATCTGGCTCCTGGCTTCCCAAAACCTCTAGCTAGTCTGGGTCTGCCGCCCACTCTGACCCACATCGACGCCTCCTTCGTTTGGGGCCACAACAATAGAACCTACTTGACCAGCGGCACTCTCTACTGGCGCATCGACGACTACACCGGTCAAGTGGAGCTGGACTATCCGCGGGACATGAGCATCTGGTCGGGAGTGGGCTACAACATCGACGCGGCCTTCCAGTATGTGGATGGAAAGACGTACTTCTTCAAGAACCTGGGGTACTGGGAGTTCAACGACGACCGCATGAAGGTGGCCCATGCCAGGACCAAATTGTCGTCTCGCAAATGGATGCAGTGCGCCCGGAATGCCAACGAGGTGGATGACGAGCAGCGTTGGACGGCTTCCTTGGTATCTGGGGAGAGTGAAGGCGACGGGAGCGAAGGAACGGGGAGGAGTGGCGCCAGGGAGCAAAGGACTAGCCTCTTCCTGCTCTCAGTCCTCCTGTTAGTCACCACGATCTGGCGGAGTTAAGATTGGATGAAAGGTTTAGGCTAAGCAATCCCTAGCATTAACAGCCTTGGTTCGACTCGTATTTTTCATAAAGAAGAAAAGTTTCTATAAGCCAAATTAAATATTATCCCTTTTATGGTTTTTTCTGAGACATTGATGAAAATAAAACAGTTTTATAAATGGTAAGACATAAATTGGAAACTGCCAAGATGCAAGTTACTTTAAGAAGTGCATTTTCCTCTCCAAAAAGAATATTGTAAATTGTAATAACCACGTTTTGTGTAGCAACGCGCAACTGTGTGACAGTCTGGCGCTTAAATGCCCCCAAAGACGACACCGAGCGGCCTTTCCTTAGATTTAACGGAATCAATCAACACCCATGTGAGACTCGCGTAAAGATGAAAAATGAACGACTCGCATTGGCTGATTTATTCATGGACACTTGCCAATTGTGCACACTGGCGCCATCTATTGAACCAATAGCAGGGCTGTTTTACCAGATCTATATACCATATTCATAAGATAAATCCACAATATTATAACCTAAGTCTGCTTATATGTGGAACTAAATATATTTTAAAGTATATACAGAAAGCGTCGAATATCCAATGTGGAAATTCGGAACCACAACTGCCTTATAAATAAGTATATTATTGCTTTTTTTATTGATGAACGTCTGCTCCACTTTTCTTATTTTGACGAACCTTTCTAATTATTTATATATAAATGTGATATTATCATAAATTCAGCGCGATTGTAAATTAAAGAACTACTAAGCAAACAAAAGAAAATCTTACACATTTTGGTTAGTTTTTAGTTTAATTTACATACGATACTTAAGCTGCAAACTATCTTTTTATAAACATTTTTACCGAAACGAAATAAAATTATAAATAAATATAAAAAAAATAAATTTCGTCACAAAGAAAAAACATTTTTTTCTTAAAATGGCTTATGTCGATGGTAAATTATATATATTTCAATCAAGAAAGATCGCTGGTGAGTTGTTGAGTGACGTGTTACGCAACTAAAGGAGTGTGCGAGGGAAAGGCAAAAAAAAAAAAATTGGCAAATTGTCACTAGCATATTTTTTGATGGCAAGGTATTTTTAAAAAATTTTTGTAACCGTTACTCGTGGAATAATGGTGTGTATTGAATTATTTGGCCTCAAACGACCTTTAAAAGTGTCTGGCGCCCAATCTTTGATGATTTTGTAAAAGTCTAAACGCAATTTTGTTTTTTTTAATAAAACCTATTTACGTGTAAAAAACTATGGTCGAGTGCGCCCCGTCTATCAGATATCCGTTACTTAGCTAATGGGAGTACGAGAGAGATAGAAATAAGCTAGCAGCAAAGTACGCCAATGTAAATAATTAAAACAAAATCTGATTTTCACTTTTGTAAAATCTATAAAAATGTGAGCGCTAGACAGACCTGTGGGCGTCAGACCTATTCCAATAAATTTGCGCTAAATGAGAATCTGAATCTAAAATCCCAACTCTAGCTTATTTCCAATTTCCGATTTTTCATGCATTGTGGATAATTTTATATAACATAGTTTTTTTTTGGTGTACAATACTGAAGGATTGCCCGAAAAAATCACACAACATATATACCCAACCCAGTTCGAACTCCCTGATGTACACAAATTTGACATTACCATGATGACGGAGCTAAAAATGAAACACAATTGGAGCCCTCTGCGATACAATATTATCGTGTATGTATTATCGTATCACTGAAATAAACAAATGTATCATCGCGATAATATCGTTATCTCCATGTATAGACAAGCCCAAAAGGAATCTAAAAAGTTAGTGTGCTGATAATAATGCCGGGTGTCAGGTGAAAGTGTTGGCCGCTCTTCAATTTATTGAACATATATCTCCACCGAATGGGCATTGAAACATCCTGTCAGCTCGTTTTTGAGCCAGTGTTATCGGGAGCAGTGTAGATCCCAACCGATCATAATATAATTGTAATGATTACACCACTGTTAATGGCCTCCGAGGACTTTATCTTATCAACGGGCTTTAGCTGCCGTTTGACACAAGGTGTTAATTTAGTGTAACAATCACCAGCTGCTCGGTAATGGCTATAATATGTGAGATCTTTCGCTCCGCTCTACCTGAATATCGCTCGCACTGCTCGACAGTCATTAGGTTATGCGTCACCACGCCTCACAGCCGTGACGTCCACACAGTTCCACCGTTCTCCATGTAGTCCCGTCCCCAGAACCATACCCAAAATCGGTGATTCCGCGGCGACTCGGTGACAGTCGCGCGCCCACAGTCAAACCCAGCGGTTCAACACTCGATTTTCGCGAGGAGGCGGCATATATCACGTATAATATATTATATACATTCATATGCATATCTGTGTATAGAACAGCTAATATTAAATTAAAGACAATTGTGAGTAGAGGTCGCGACAACGTAAAGCTAGACCCGTACGGTTGCTTTTGATCCCAGTGCAAGACAACCTGATATCTGGGTTTACGAGCACTTGAAAACTGATTGGTGATCCCTGCCGATAAGGGGTATCTTTCGTTGCCCTCAGGGCGGTGTGTTCTTGATTTCGGATAGTGCATAAGCGTCCGTGGTAATTACTATTCAATAAGTATTTACCGCTGATAACGAGGGGGATAATTTAAATTCTGTCGTACTAAAAGTAGAAGAAAAGTTTGACAACATCCACTGATAAGCGACAGGTAATGGATCGAGTTCTTGACTTCTTATCCTTGTTTTTGTTCAATACTTACTTATACTTAAATTGCTGGCTTAGCAGTTAATCCAGTGATTAGACATCGCACACAAGTGGATTATTTTCATTAGGAAATATTATTATTTTCCAATGTGTTCCTGACTTAAGATTGCTATTAAAAAAAATTAAGTTATTCATCATTCTATGACTGTGACGAACTGGGAATCCTACAGAGATTTAGATCTTCGCTTAAGTGGCAGCTATTTTAATCTAATCGAAAACCAGGCCCAAGACTATGTCGAACCTCAGTGACGAAGAATTGGTGGCCATATGGGGCATGGGTACTATCTAATCACCTTACCAGAGACACCAGTTAATGTCATAACTAGGCGGAAATTGGGGCCAAAAGCAGCCGGTTGACTAATCGCACCTGGAAAAATTTCAATAAATCAAACCTATGCTTTGCATCGAACAGGTGGTGATAAGGGAAGCCTAGCCGAAAGTAGCCATGTCGGACGCCCATTCGAATTCCTTACGCAGCCTGAGTCCAGAGCTGGCCAAAAAGGCGCAGGACGAGCTGGGCGAGGTTCCCGAAAGGATCGATGAGGACATCGAAACGCTGCGCACTTGGATCTCCAAGCAGCCGCATCTGAAGGCCCGCCAGGATGCCCAGTTCCTGGTCGCCTTTCTGCGCGGCTGCAAATACAGTTTGGAGAAGACCAAACTCAAGTTGGACAACTTCTATGCGATGAGGGGAGCGGTGCCAGAGCTCTATAAGAATCGCATCGTGGGCGAAAAGCAGCTAAGCATTCTGGAAACAGGGTAAGTCATTACATTCGCAGTTCCAAGAATACTTTATAATGGTATGTTCAACATTATAGTTGCCTCCTTCGGTTGCCACAGCCATTAAAGGCAGATGGCCCCCGCATCCACATTTCCCGCTACGGGCAGTACGACTCAAAAAAGTATTCCATCGCCGAAGTCATCCAGGTAAACACCATGTTCGGTGAGATCCAGATTCGCGAGGACGACAATGCCATGATATCTGGTTTCGTGGAGATAATCGACATGAAGGGCGTTGGGGCAGGTCACATATTCCAGTTTGACGCAGTGCTGGTGAAGAAGCTGGCCGTTTTGGGTGACAAGGCTTATCCCTACAGGCCCAAGGGTTTCCACTTTGTAAATGCGCCCGCCAGTGCCGAGAAGTTAATGTCGATTGCCAAGAGTCTGATGAGTGAGAAGATCCGAAAACGGGTAAGATTTAAAAAATATATTTCATGATAACGAAACAGCGAATAGTGAATTTTTGAACTCCTAGTTCCACATCCACTCCAAACTGGAGAGCCTCTACAAATATGTGCCGAAGGAGTGTCTGCCTGCCGAGTACGGTGGCAGCAATGGAACCATCCAAGATGTGGTCAGTACATGGAGAACAAAGCTCTTGGACTACAAACCTTTCTTCGAAGAGGAGGTTTCCTATGGCACAAACGAAAAGCTGAGGCGAGGACAACCCGTCAACGCCGAATCCCTGTTTGGAATCGAAGGATCTTTCAGAAAACTCGATATCGACTAATCTAGACACTCTACATAGAAAATAGTAATTTTTAATCGTTGTACAAATGCAGACTAATCGGAACTAAAGAACTAAAAACAAGTTAAATTTGAATAATTGGCAGTGGGCATTTGGGTGGAAAGTATTTCAGTCATCACAACTTGGCTGCCTGCTTTGCTTTTTGGTTGATAAACTTAAGTCCCTCGTCATGGTAGGGATTACTGGCTTCCCTGACACGTTCCAACCATTTGGCCACCTTCGGGAACTTTTTCTCATCCACTTGGTACTGGCAGAGCCCTGTAATAAAATTTGATTAATTCCCTTCAAGACTCTCCATTCCATTTCAAAGCATACTAAGTTGATTGATTTCCGAAGAACCGAGGATATCAGCCACTGTTAAGTGCTCTCCCACCAAAAAGTCCTTGTCTAGCCACAGAAGCTCCAGGAGACCCAGATTGGTCTCCACTCCCTCAATCAGCGTTCGAATCTGTTCCGGCTTGGGTTTGGGTGCTATTCCATTCATGGGAAACAGCCAGGCATCTCGAAAGTACAAGGAGCAGGCCAAACGGATATTCAGGTGCTGCCACTCCAGGAATTCATCCACTCGGGCCCGATCCTCCACTGCCTTCGGGTAAAGCTTTTCGTCGAACTGACCTTTGTCGGCGAGATATCTTTGGGGGCAATGTACGAACTTAACATGAAAATTATTCACAAACAAGAGGATTTCTTACCGTATGATGGCTATAGTTTCGGACAAATGGAAGTCTCCATCCACTATGGCGGGCACCTTCTGGAAACGATTGATCTTCTTGTACTCGTCGGTCAATTGCTCGACTAAAAATATCTTAAATTAGTCGGCGAATCATATAAGGTTTACCTCTACCTCCACTCACATTTACGCAGGGCAATGGGACAATATTCAATTTGAGCGTTGCCCAATTTTAAAGCTAACCATAGTCCCCGGGCGATCGGGGACAACAGATCGTAATATAATTTAATTGACTTCGACATGGCGGTCAATTGGCCTGGCTCTTCAATCCGAACTGCTAAACAGCCGGCGAACGTATAAATCCCCCAGCTGGGAAAAATAGAAAGTAAACAAAGCTGCAGTCCAAAGATCAATAGCGCCACCTTGCAGCACTGGTTGGGTTCATGGTGGAACTATACAAGGTGGTCTCGTCAGCTCTGCTGAGGACGTTAAATATGTTTACCTCTCTGTCTCCCTTAAGCGATAGAATGAGATAGCTAGATAGAGACTGGCACAAATAACGTCCTCAAAAGAGGGCAGCTCTCGCGACGAGACCACCTTGTATAGTTTTAACATGGTTGGGTTATTATGGTTGTCCCGCTCTTGGGGGGAACCATATGAAGAGAGATATTGAGTGGGGAACTCCGAATATGAATATACTTTATAACTTGAGATAAAAATATTTACTTAAGTCTTTAATTGATTTAACATAGAACACAATTAACACGAAACAAGGCACAAACTGGTTACAGTGATGTCTTACAATTTTAATAAATGCAAAGATAAAAAGTGATCGACACTTAAAATGAATTAATTTTTGGCACTGGCTGCCTGCTTAGAGACCTTGTACAGGAAACTATGGGCCTCGTCGTGGTAGGGATTGGTGGCATCTCGCACGCGCTCCAACCACTTGGCAATCTTGGGGAACTGCTTCTCATTCACATTGTACTGGCAGAGCTCTGAAGGTATGATAAATTATAAAATCATACTCTATTTAAGCGTTATACTAAGGATTACTCATTTGATTGATTTCCGAAGCCCCGAAGATATCCGCCACGGTGAGTTTATCTCCCACTAGGAAGTCCTTCTCCAGCCACACGCGTTCCAAGAGGCCCAGATTTCCCTCCACGTCCTTAATAAGCTTCTTAACGGTTTCGGGTTTTGGGGCCGGAGCCAATCCCTTTGCCGGTAAAAGCCACACCTGACGGAAGAACAGGGAGCAGACCATGCGAACATTGAAGTGCTGCCACTCTAGGAACTCATCAACTCTTGCACGATCCTCCAAGGACTTGGGATACAGCTGCTCGCTAAAGACTCCTTTGTCCGAGAGGTAACTAAAATTGTACAAATATAGTACCTAAATGTATACGGATTTGAAAGGAAACATACCGCACTATGGAGACACTCTCGCCCAACTGAAATTTACCATCCACGATGGCCGGCACCTTTTGGAACCTGTTGATGTTCTTGTACTCGTCGGTCAATTGCTCCTCTGGAATTATCAGTTCCCAGATATTGCATCAGCCGGCGTAATGGTTAATTTGTTGTTTATTCTCACGTTTTCTCAGGGCAACCGGGCAATCTTCAAAAGGGGTCTTGCTCAATTTCATTCCGATCCAAAGGGCGCGGGATGGCTGAGACAGGAAGTCATAATAGTATTTAATTGCCTTCGACATCTTGAGTAATTATTTTAATAATAGTAATAAGGTAAACACAAAAATAATACAGCCCGAACAGATGGAGTGTCAAAAAGCTTTTGAACTTTTTGTCGTTCCAAAGTTCAATTGCGTAATCACCCTGTGGGCCTGTTTTGTTCGAGCTTTTTTGCGCAAGTATGGCGCACCCTGTGGGCCTGTTTTGTTCGAGTTTTTTGGCGCAAAAGTTTAACTGATTTAAATTTGTAGCGGCTGGGCGGCAAATTTGAATTGTGGCGAATTTTGTGGTTTGTGTTTGCAGCTAAAGTTCTGGCTGCTTATTATGGCTTTTAGTTTCTGTATGGCTTTTTGTTTACATTTAATTTTTTACTTTAGTTAGTTTTTATGTAGAGTTTTTTATTATTTTTGTTGGAGATTTAATTTAATTTGCTTTGCTGAATTAATTTTTGTTTAGCGGATTAATTAGTTTTTTCGCGAGTTGCAATGTTTTTTGTAGTTTATTAAGTTTTGATTTATTTTCTGACCGTTTTTGTAGGTTTATCATTGATGTTTTTACTGACCTTGCTTTGATTATCTTTTCTTTGTATGGCCTTTTAATTTAATTAAATTTTACGTTTAGCTCTTGATGTCTTCCTCTCCAGTGTCTTGTTTTAATATTCGTTTTTTTTCAAATTTATTCCAAGTCTTTATGTTGAAATAAATCCTTTTAAATTCGCTTTGATTTCGTTGACTTTATTTGTGGCGATTTTATTGTGATTACTATAGCCATCCCGCTGTGTCAAGAAATGGAAAAGAGCGGGTAAAAATCAAATTCAAATTGGTAAGATATGAAACATTACCTAGAAATACCCGCAATCAATTAGTTTCAATGATTTAACCTTCCTTTTGACATACTCGAATGTTTATTGATATTACTTATCGATTTGTCGCCATACTTTAGGCACCATCACATTTATCTAAACCAGATAAAGCTTATTACCTCATAAATATAGTATAGAACTCCCAAGCAATACACATTAAAATAAGTTTTACTTGTACCGACAGTTAAACAAATTCGCTTTAATTTATTAACGCACTCAACATGGGGTCTACAATACATTGTCACTTTAACTGTAGTCATTTAACTATGTATGTATTATCCATAAATATAGATGCATGTATATATGTAAACTAGTATCAAAATTAGTAGAAACGACACTTAACCAACGGAAAAAAATATCGAAAATATATGTATATATACTTCCATGTACCGTATGTATGCGATAAAATAAAGGCAAATAACAACTTAGCACGCAAGTATGTATAAAAGACGTTAAGGATTTCATCATGAAAATGCATTATGGGATCATGTTAGGAAGAATCACTCGGGTATGGTACCATAAACCCGACGCGACCGGACGTTAGAATGTGTTAAGTATGTGCGTTGATAAGGACAACAATAAATTAAAATCGACAATAATGTGAGGTTTTGAGCCATTTAATGGCGTTCCATTTTCTTCTTAGTGTGCACTTGTTTATCATATTGTTCAATTTGCTTTTAGTTTCGATGTTGCTCTTCCAGGTTTCCGTTTATAAAATATCAGGTTCTGCTATGACCAAAGATCGCTATAGCGCTGTAGTGTCTATACATTTCAGAGTGTATTGGGCTTTGTGTGTAGAGGGGCGTACTTATAGGATGTGCATCGAATATACAACTAACTGCCCGTCAACCGCCTCAATCGAAGTTCAGCTTCCGGAAGGTTCCGTCGTTGGGAACGCCGGCCACCAGCGGAGCAGCCCTGTCCTGATCCTTCTCGCTGGCCGCCCGCAACTTCTCATTTACGCCATACCGCTCGTCCTCCTTGAAGTACGTGGAGAAGCTGGTCAACTGGGTCTCGTACCGCGACATGGCATCCGCCAGGAAGCCATTCTCGCCACCCAACTCCACGGGCACATACTCCTTGCCGATGGCCTTGTGCAGGGACTCGAGGTTCGAGTGGATGTGCAGCTGGAAAAAGGGAAACAGCAGATAAAGACTAACATATAGATCGAATTTCCCCTCAGACTCACCAGCTCCTTCTGCTTCATGACATTTCGCACCAGTCCCAGGACAAACTGAGTCTCCCTGGAGGCGTTTACGATGTGGGTGGCAACTAAATTCGCTGGAATTCCGTGCTCTAGGAAGGCGTTCATCCGCTTAAACATCCCCGGGTCGAACTGCAGCAGCAGGGAGTAGGGGATCTTGGTGAAGTCGATGATCTCCACCACGCCGGCCACGTTCCAGTTGTCGTCCGTGTTGATCTCGATCTCGGCGCGGAAGGCGTGGAAGCGGAAAATGTCGCTGACACTGTGCTTGGAAGTCTCGATGTGGCCCATTCGTGTGTAGTGGATGCGGGGGCCTCCAGGGCCAATGGGGTTGGGCAATGTGGCGAAGATTCTGCAATGAAGGTAGTGCCTATAAGGGTACGTAACTTAAAAGGCCGGGGAATCCCCCAACTTACCCTGAGCGAGCCAGTTCCAGCAGCTTATCGTCCACCTGTCGACTCTTGAGCAACTCGCGCTCCTTGGACTTGTAGGTGTAGTAGAAGAGCACCCGCTTCTTGGCCGCCTCCACGTCCCAGTGGCAGAAGCGCAGGAAGGCCACCAGGAACTGGTCGTCCGTCCGCGCCTCCAGGTAGTTCTGCTCGACGATCCAGGCACGCAGGGCCTCGATCTTCGCGGCCACCTCGGACGACTCCTCGCCAAGTTGCGATCGAGCCACCTCGGCCAGCTCCGGCACCAGCGATCGTATCTTGGCCATGGTCAAAGGGGATCTGCGAAACGATCGAAACTTGCCTTAAATTTTGCGATACGATGCCAAGGTTCGGAGTTTGCCGAGGGGTGTGTGTGTGCTGTGCCCAGGTATTCGAACACGAATAATCGAACTGTCTGTGCTCGCCTGCCGACTCCGATCGGAACGGGAAACCTCTTGATTCGATAGCGGGCACACTGGTGCAAAGGCACCCGAACAACACTGCGACATGGAGCAAACTCACAGTGACAAACCATTTACAGAGGCAGATTATGCGATATCAGTGACCGATAGAACAAACACAAATAGCCGGGCTTTGATATGATATGATAGCAGCACTGGTTAGTCTCTCTGAACCGAAATGTTTGGACTTTAATTAATCACATTGGTTGGACTTAATACTAACTTAAATACCTTTAATTTGACTTTATTAAACGTTAATATGTTTAGTAAACATTTTTATGGAAATGGTTTATGATTAAAGGTACACACAAAAAAAATCGAAGTTAAGTTATTTGTGACTAGTGCATTAATTTATAAGGAAGTCCTTGTAGCACCAGGAATAAAGAAATATTTAAATTAAGTTACTGTAACATATATCTTAATTTAAATTTAAATTATATCTTCATTTAATTTGTTCATATTCTCTTCTAATCTGTGTAATCCATTTTTTTTATTTTTCAGAATTTCTTATTATATTTAACAAAAATTGGAATAATATATGCACGGTTGCCACATAAAAAATTTGATATGAGCCAAAAAAAGATACAAAATGAGCCAATTTGAATAAAAAAGAGACAAATTTTTACCATATACCAAATTACCATACCAGCGGAATAATTTAGTTTCGATCTGGCACTTTTGGGTTTCAGACATTAATCATTTTTAAAATTGCAAAAAAAAAAATGCCTTAATAAAAAAATTAATTCGTATTTTTCCAGTTTAAAATATTTTTTATCGTTATTAGCAAAAAAGAGCCAAATTCATAAAAATTGGGCCAAATTTAGCTCTTTTGAGCCAAATCTGGCAATTTAACTGCCATAGATAGGATCGAATAATTAAAGTCAAAGTTGTAGAAAACTTATATATTTGTAACAAATTCGCAAGTAATATGTCTGTTTAACATTTTTACAATATTTTTATGATTTATTTTTAATTTATTAGGAAATATCTTGAACAGTATAGAAACATTAGCTGTCCAAAGTAAACCCCCTTTCTTGATTTCTTTAAAATTAGCAACTTGGCCACTTGAAAAGGCATCAGCTTTTAGGACCCATAATTGGGTAATTCCAGCCAACTGTGCCTTTCCGATCCGGCGATAAGATATGGCCTGCATACACCCACCGTTGTGAACTGTGGCGTGGTTCGATCCACAGACTCTGGCCAAACAGCTGCACACATTTTCGCCAGCGATGCAGTCGAGCCGTAATCTTATCTCCTCCGCCGAGAGACTTCGACCGCCCACTCACCACTCACCGGATCGGTTTGGTTCGGGTCTCGTGGAGCGTTTGGCCAAAGAGAGAGCGGCGGGAATGGCCGAGTCAGCTATCAGCCGAATGAGTGGCCATAAAGGCCATAGATTAGCTTTTGACGGTTACGATTCGGCTGGGGATTTCGTCTGGCGTGCGATTAGGAAAAGCGTTTAGTAGCCGTCCAGCTGCCACGAAGCAAGCGACTTCCCACAAATGGCCAATCTGCGACCCCTGAGCACCGAACTCCGCCGCATTGCCGAGGCGGAGCTGAACGAGGTGGAGGATCGGGTGCCCGCCGATCTGGAGGCTCTGCGGGATTGGGTGGCCAAGCAGCCGCACTTGAGGGCCCGTCAGGATGACCAGTTCCTAATCGGCTTCCTGCGAGGCTGCAAGTTCAGCCTGGAGAAGACCAAGTCCAAGTTGGATCACTTCTACACCATCAAAACCCTGATGCCGGAGCTCTTTGGCAGTCGAGTGGTGGACGAGAAGAACATAGCTTTGTGTCGAACGGGGTGAGTTGGGTTTAGGTGGAAAAATCAAGGATAATGGATAATAATCCAAAATTTCATTTCAGAACCTATATCCGGCTGCCCAAACCCTGGGGTCCCGGTGGCCCCCGACTGCAACTTACAAACTACGAGAAATTCGAGCCCAAGCAATTCAAGTTACTGGATCTCTTCCGCTACCAAACTATGCTGTCCGAACAGGCGATCCTAGAGGATGACAACAGCAACGTCAGTGGCTACGTCGAGATCATCGACATGGCCAAACTGAGCCTCAGTTTTCTGGCCCAACTCGATTTCACGCTCATCAAGAAGATGGGAATATTCGCAGAAAAGGCTCAACCCACTCGTCTAAAGGGGGTCCACCTGATCAACTGTCCCAAGGAGGGAGTGGCCCTACTGAACCTGGCCAAGAGCCTCATGCCCACCAAACTCCAACAACGGGTGAGTAGTCCGAAAAAAACCAAGTGAGTGGAGGCACTTCTGCTAATTTATTTTCGTCGCTTATCAGACACTACAGGGGGATTATCAGCTAGTCTGGCAGGCAGCTGATAAGCGTTGAAGCGCTCACTCTCTCACCCCTGAACTATTAATTAATATTTCACAAATCAGAGCAATTAACTTTCGAGCGCTATTGTCGCACATTGTCAAGTGCTGCATGTGGAAAAGCATTGCCTAAGGTCAGTTGACCGAACACATGGGCTCTTATCAATGAAACGTTAGGACGGGGCATAAAGAACAAGAGAGAACGCTATAGTCGGGTTGGTGTCCCGACTGTCACTCAGCTAAAGGAAATGCAAGGGAGATGGATATATAACATTTTTTATTGCCCATAACTTTTTAATGAATAGACCTATCTGAAAATTGTCTTCTACATTTCGATAGATATAAATATACTCAACAAAATTGCATTTATACTTTTCGGAAATCCTTAAAGGTGTGGGCGCCAGACACATTTTAAAAACGTTAGTGGGCGATTAAGGGCGTTAGAGGGGGCGTGGCGCTCGGCTGAAATAAACTTGCGCTGCGTAGGAAGCCCAAGAATATGTTCAGGAAATCTCAACCTTCTAGCTTTTGTAGTTTCCGAGATCTCAGCGTTCATACAGACAGACAGACGGACATGGCTAGATCGACTCGGCTAGCGACCCTGATCAAGAATATATATACTTATGGGGTCGGAAACGCTTTCTTCTAGCTGTTACATACTTTTGCACGAATACAATATACCCTTTTACTCTACGAGTAGCGGGTATAAATATATGCATATATCGATCTGTCTCATGATAAACACCTCACTTTTCTAGTTTCACGTGTACAAGAATCTGGATCAACTAAACGAGGTGATACCGCGCGAATATCTGCCGGAGGAATATGGCGGCAACAATGGACGTATAGCCGATATCCAGGCGGAGGCTGAGAAGCGACTGCTGTCCTACAAGAACTATTTCGCAGAGGACTCCCAGTACGGAGTGGATGAGCACCTGCGCCCTGGAAAGCGGGTTAATGCCGACTCCATTTTCGGCGTTGAGGGATCCTTCCGCAAACTCGACATCGACTAAAGTCAAATAAGTTTTTTCAGCTGAATTGTTGTTTCTAGTAACAGTTAACAGCACTAGTCACTAAAAGAAAATGCAATCCTCAACGTGGTTCACTTGACTTCATGAAAATGGGCCAGAGGAGTAGCGCAACAGATGGCCAAATCGCAGAGCCATTAGCTTTTAGCGGGCACTATCTGTGACACTTGCTAATGGCTTTGTCAATCAGCCAAGGGACTTATGTGGGATCAGTCCTTGGTCATGTTAATTTGCTGCTCGCGAGGGCAGTTCCTCTGCGGAAGGCGTCGAAGCAGGAAGCCAATGGAATGGCCGCGAACTCCAGCAGCGATGAAGTTCGTAGGAGGTCAAATTCAAATTCCAACTGCAGAGTAGTTAAACCCTTTTCCTTCAGTTCGACTTCAGCAAGTGGGACTTCCCGGCCGAACGCATCTGGCTGCACAAGTCCAACGGGGAGATCACTTGGAAGATCTGCACTTTTGTGCCACTGATTGCCTTTGGGCTGTATGGAAACTTCACCATGGTCTATCTGATAGCCGCCAACCGCTCCCTGAGGTCGCCCACCAACCTGATCATCGCCAACATGGCCGTGGCTGACCTGCTGACCCTGGCCATTTGTCCGGCGATGTTTATGGTCAACGACTTCTATCAGAACTACCAGTTGGGCTGCGTGGGCTGCAAGCTGGAGGGTTTCCTCGTGGTGGTTTTCCTCATCGCAGCTGTGCTCAATCTCTCGGTGGTCAGCTACGATCGGCTGACCGCCATCGTACTGCCAATGGAGACGCGTCTGACTGTGAGGGGAGTCCAAATCGTGGTCGTTTGCACCTGGGTTTTGGGTATCCTGTTAGCATCACCGTTGGCCTTGTATCGAGTTTACCGAGTGCGGATCTGGAAGAACTTCACGGAGCGTTATTGCAAGGAGAACACCTCCGTGCTGCCCAAATACTGGTATGTGCTCATCACCATTCTGGTTTGGTTGCCACTGGGCATTATGCTCATCTGCTACATAGCCATATTTTACAAGGTAAGCGAAGGTAGCTCCTTTTTCTTGGTTCTTTCTCTAATTAGTCACCTCGAACCCAGCTTGATCGGTACGAAAAACGAGTGCTAAGTCGCGAGAATCCCCTTTCAGTCAGCTATAAACGTAGCGTGGCGAAAACCCTTTTTATTGTGGTCGTTGTGTTTGCAGTTCTCCGGCTGCCATTTACAATCCTAGTGGTTCTGCGGGAGAAATACTTCGACGAGGATGTCTCTGTTAGCTCTGGAATGCAACTCTTTTGGTACATCTCACAGTACCTAATGTTTCTCAATGCCGCCGTCAATCCGCTGATCTATGGATTCAACAATGAAAACTTTAGGCGGGCCTACTATCAAATCTCCTGGGTTCGCCGGTGGAAAGACGCAGCTAAGATGAAGAAGCGATCTGTGACATCGAAGCATTGCTGCTACTGTGCCTTCATGAAGAAGGGCAAGCGGAAAACCGAGGAGCCACAGCAGCCAGGGAACGTGGAACGGGACATGAGCAATGATATGTCCACAGAGGAACCGACAGCCAAGTCAACTGAGAGAATTCAAGATGATCTGGATTATTCAGTTGCGTCAGGAATTGAAGCAGATGGGTTTATATAAATGAGCATTATTCGGAAATACCCAGGGGTGTCCCAGGAAATACTAGTGTTTTTAAAGAGTTGCTTTTGGCAGCAAAAAAAAAATTGCAGGGTTTTTCAGAAAATTAGTATTTTCAATCCATACAATAATCGGGTTCCCTAAAATCTATTTGGGTTGCTTTAAAACTCACAATAACCATGTTACAACTATTAAAATTGCCAAACAATTCAATAAATCATAAAAATGTTTTAAAATAAGTATGATACGATATTCTCTAATCTTTGTGACCGTAATATTTTTTTAATTTGCTTTAGGACAAAGTCATTTGTTTAAAAATTGTATGACCAAAGTACACAGAAACTCAAAAACGCAACATGTTATAAATGGGCTTGGAAAGCAAACAAAGTGAACGGAAACCAGACAAATTGGTTAGCAAATACATTAAGTAAATCCATTTTTAAAGCTAAGCAAGACTTAGAGGCCGTTCTGATACACCCACTACTTTAAAGGGTACCCAAACAGCTGACCCTATCTATAGAAAAGAGCTTTAGGAACCGTTTGAAAATCAGATCTTGGTAATGTAAAATATTTGGCAGTGCACGTGGTACAATTGTACAGAGTATTTCGTTTTGTATCGTTTACAAAAATATAATATATGTATCAAATGTGTCGTGTTCTGTTTATATTGACATTTGCGGGTGCGCTCGCCCAGAGGCCCAGTTTCGAAGTGAACTTCCAGGAATCCTACCCCACGCACTTCCTCAATTCGGATCAGGAATCGATTCTGCACAAAAGGGCGGCGGATGTGCCTCAGTTTTTCGACCAAGGTTTGCAATGAAATAACAAACTTTATTTACAATTTGAATTTTGCAAGCCGCGCTCAGGCTAAACCAAACAACTCCGCCTTCATGTAGCCAAAGCCGTGGGCCTCGAGGAATCGGATAAACTGACCCATATTCATGACTCCCTCCTCGGCGTTGAAGAGCTGTTCGCTAAAGTCCTCGAATCCTCGCTTGCGTTGCCGTGGTTCCGTTCGCACCACGCTGATCTTTTGCCATCGCAGGGCCTTGATGGTGACCCAGAACTCCTGGACATTCTCGGACTCGCCCTCCACGCATATGATGCCCGGTTTACCAGGTCTGCTGAAGCCAGTGAGTTGCAACTGGTGGGCCTGGCGAATCAGCTCCTGACGCTTGGCGGTGGACTTGATGTGGTGCGAGTAGATCCACATTCGCTCGAGATGGGAAACCGCCAGTTGTGGGAGATCTTGTGGTTCCTCTTGTTGGTCTACAAATTCTGAAGCCGGTCGCTTTAATAGATCTTCGATGTGCTCCTGAAGCCAGCTTAGCAGCTGAAAGATGTACGGCACAGGCTCCTCCGCCCGCCTTTCACTCTGAAACTGCTCCATGTCGCTTTTCAAGCGCTGCTCCTTAGATTTTCCCAGGAGTGGCGTGTGGACACTGACCCTTGCCTGCTCCAAAAGCGGATATAGGAGCGGCAACTCCACTCGCACCTCCACGCTCCGTTTGGCGGGCAGACTCAACTTGACCACGTACTCCAGATGCGAGGGCAGATTGGCAGCAGGTTTCCTTTCATCCTCCTCGAGGAACTCATTGAAATCGGCCACGACGCCGGCATCGAGCATTTCCAGCTCCCCGGGAGCGCAGTAAATGGAGCTCAGCAGCTCCAGCTCCTCCAGCTGCTGGCCAATGCAGCGGCGGTACGTTTGCAGCTCCTGCTCGGCCATGGCTGACGGAGAGTTAGAAAGAATTGTTTGGTTTAGTCAGCGACCGGCTACGATCCTAGATCCTATCCTATAGTAACAAAGCTGTATGATAAAATCCACAATTAATTAATTCTATACACTCCCAGCTAGTTTTAGCTTCGATGGCCTGAAGCGAGTGGCCTCCGTGCCAGTGCCCTTTCCCCTGGACATTTGCATGCTCCAACTGCCCACGGTTAAGTACGCTACGACCCTGCACAAAAATACCGCTGGTCTGCGTCACTTTGCCATTTTCACCTGGCGCCCGGCTGAGCAGGACTATCAGCTTCTCGTGCAGCTGGCGGCTCCGGATGCAATGGCTCTGGATTGCCTGGCCTTCGCTGGACATGGCTACGTCGCTGTGAGCTACAACCTGACCGAACCCGAGGGCTCGGCTCGCGAAGGATCGCCCATCTATGAGCTCTCCCCCGAAACGGGAATACGAACAGTGCAGTATTTTGGGGGAACCCAATTGAGGGGAATGTACCTGCGGATCAGCAGCCAGGAGCTGACTCTTCTGCAGGCCTTCGAGTCGGGAGCAAAGTGTCCGTACTTCAAGTGGATGGGCAGGACTTTCCAGCGACTCGGTTCGATTCCCTGCAGCAATGCTCGGCGGCTGGAGGCCTTTGGCATCGATTACACGGACTACGTGGCCGTGGCCAACTTCGCAGATGCCGAGGGACGCACTTCTACTCGCTCAGAGATCTTCAGATGGGATGCCAAAGCCCGGAGATTCGAGCTCTTCCAACGACTGCGCAGCAATGGCGCCGTGGACGTGAAGTACTTTAGTCTCCCCATCAACGAGGTCAGTCGCAGGCACTTTCTTATCCTGAGCAACACCATTGGGGGATCTAGTGCCGAAAAGGGCGAGGCGGACACTGTAATCTATGTCTTCGAAAAGGGACAGTTTGTGCCCTATCAGCGGCTGAGTTTCTATGCCGTGGAAAGGGTTCTGCCAGTTCAGGTAATTTTATGACTTTTTAATTATATGACTTTTTCATAATCCCTGATTTTTTAGCACTCCATCTCCGAGAAGTTCCTACTTCTTGTGGCTTGTAACAAGCAGGATGTCAAGATTTACAACCTCAACGATTGGAGATTCGAGGAGTCCAAAGTGCAGTTCACCGAAGGAGCTTTGAGTCGTGGAGTGGCCAGAATGAGAAGCTATGAAGACGGGGCTCATAGCTATTTGGGTAAGACTTCTTTAGAATTGTAGTATTTCTAATATTGAGATTTGATTTTCCTTAGTGATTGCCAATGATAACATGGCTGCGAATGAAACGAACATCTTCCAGCCGCTCTACAAACAGGACGAGCATGCCAATATACTCCGCCAGCAAATCATTGACTGGGCTCGGGAGCAAAGAAAGCGGTTGGAAAAAGTAAATATAGAGCAGCTATTGAAGAGACTAGAGGTAAGTGGAGTAAATTATAAGATTCCTTAGTAGCTAACACATTTGTATTCAGCTCAAGCTGAAGCAACGGGAGGAGAAACTGAAGTGGTCGGCCATTAAACAAGTAAAAGCCAAATCGGTAAGTTGAAGACCTATAATCTACAGCCTGATAAATAACCCTCTTTATCAGTTCGAGGACAAGCACATGAAGCTAACACCGAATTACTGGAAAGCCTTACAGCTCACCAAGCAGGCTTTGGATGCAATCGAAGAGAAGACAACCAGACATCCCATCAAGAGATCCGCTGACCAGCTAAATGATGAACATGATTTCGAGGAGGTAACTGTGGACACGCTGGTTGTGCACGGATCCGTAAAAGCAGACCATATCAATAGAGTTGATACGAAGAACCCTGTTTACGAGTCCGTGACTGCCAGTAAAGTTTTCGTGAGCGAGAGGTTCACCGAACCCGGAAGGAAAGAAAAGAAACCGCTGCTGAAGGAGCTGACAGTGAAGGATCTCCAACTAGAGGGCCGGCTCAATGGCCTTAGGTGGCCAGAACTTCGGGATCAGAGTCTGAAGCGAAGCGGCAAGGATGTGCAGTTCATCAAGGCAGACGCAGACCTGGACCGCCTCCAATCGGATGCTGTGCAGGTCAACAACAATGAGGTAAACGGTCGCCCGTTGGGTCAGCTTATCCCGGTGGATGGAGGTCGCTTTATTGTCCAACAGGATGTGCAGTTTGCGCAGCCCATTCAGGTGAATCGACTGGTTATCAATCAGCGGCTTAATCACATCAACGTCGACCGTCAGCGATTTGATGTGCTGCTCAGGCAGGCGAATCACACGCAGGTCATCGAAGGTTCCAAGCGATTCGAAAACGTTCGTGTCTTGGAACCAATTACGATTGCGGTGGGTATAAACCAGGATTCGGAAAATAACACACTCTGTAAAAAACTTGTGTTATTAACATGTTAAATGTCAAAGTGTTAGGTTCAAAAAAAAGTCATTGACATGTGATCAAGAAATTGTAGCTTACTTATGTTAGAAACATAAATAAAGCACATAGTGCGTTAACACGTCGTGTTAATAACACGATTTAACACAATGAGTTTTTGACATTAAAACGTCAGAAATATATGTTGTAGTGAAAAAATTCATAAATGCTTTGAAACGGTTAAAAATAACCATTAATCTTCATTTTCCCTTCGATTCGTTAATGTCCATAAAATGTAATTTTCTTTTGTGTTAAAAACACAGTGTGTAAAAAACACGTTGTGTAAAAACCATAAGTAAACTGAGTGTGCTTACAGTTATTTTCACATTTTAACACTTTTGTTTTTGACACACATGTCAAAAACTTTGTTCACACTGTAAAATAAAATTTTACACGTTTTTAACATGTGTGTTAAATTCCGAACCCTGGTACACACAGATAAGTAATTGGAAAATAATATAATTATAAAATATTCCCTTAGGGTCAAATGATAGGCGCTGAACTGAGAGCCATGTCGCCAGCAAAGGTCACCCACAAATCTCTGCAACTCCAAGGAGATTTCGTTATTAACGGCGATGTGACCATTGGACGGCTGTTGCAAGCAAGAGATTATGTAGATGAGGCTCAGAGATCAGCCGCAGAAACTTTGAGTCGCGCTCTGCGACTGGATCAACATGTGGAGAATGTAAACCTTAACTTTTTGCAACCACTCATTGCCAACAACACGGAGCTAAGCTTCCTCAACACCCAAGACTTGCAAAATCTGGTCAAACTGAACGTGGAAAAAGTGCAGTTGGTGCAGGCAAGTAAAGTGTTTCCGCAAAGTGTGGAGATATCTGATGGCTTCGGCGAGGTCAAGTGGTTGAATGGCATTGATTCGGAGAGGCTTCCGGAAATGCTGCTCACAAGGAGTGGAAACCAGAACATTTCCACGCCAATTCAATTGCAAGACTTGGAAGTGAGTCAGTTGAATGCATCCCAGGTATTGTTAAATGGCTTGGAATTGGAGGAATATCTTCAAGTTGACAAGGATCAGGAGTCAAATGGAACCCTGTTTGTAGAGAACTTGAATGTTGAGGAAATGAAGGTGGAAGATCTTCACTTGAATGGCCGCCTATTTAACCAACCACTGGCCAGGATCTATGAACATGGAAGCCAATCTTTGGACCAATGGCACCTGCCACCCGACTTCAATGGCACCCTCTACGCCCAGAACCTGTGGCTCAGTGGCAGCATCAACCAGGCGAACGTGGCCTACTTGGAGCAGCAGTTGCAGCAATTGGCGGGCAACATCAAATATGTGGGCGACTTTAGCTTCGATCATGACGTCAACATCAGTTCTTTAAGCTTTGGAAGTTCCCTGAATGGCATTGAAGCCCATCGATTTGGCCGCTGTTGGCTGGAGTCCGAGGGAGACCAAAACTTCACGGCTCCCCAGGAGCTGGCTTCGCTGGAGAGCAGCAAAGGCGTCTGGTTAGCCGGACAACTGAACAACCATACAGTGGAAGATCTGGTGAGCCGGAGCTACAGGCTCAATGCCTCGGAGCACCTGCAATCAGTGCGATTTGGTAAGCATTAAAGGGTTCCTATACTATAACTCTATTCTATAACTATACCTCTTAGAGAATCCCATTGTGCTGCAATCGGAGCTTCACTTGGGTCAGCTGAATGGACTCCGCGTGCCCGAGGATGTGATCTACCAGAACCACGGGGGATACCTCTCTGTTCCAGTTAGCATAGAAGGCAACTTGGAGGCAGCAGAGCTGTCCAACATCACCATCCTGAACGGATATCCTCTGGAGGCCTTAGAAAGGTATTTAGGTGGGCAAACTCTGGACACTTTTGTGGCGGAGAATGTAAAGTTCGGAGAAGCCCCTTCCTACCAGCTGCTAAATGGTCAGGAGGTCAGCAAGCTTCTGGATCAAGTGTGGCTGGATAACGAGCAGATTGAGCTGAGCGGATTGGAGTTGGATTCCGCCCAGTTTAAAGGACTGCTGGAGTTCCAGGTGGGTCAAGAACCCCATAGAAACCCATGCTAAACTAAGGCCCCTTTTTCTCCCCCCAGGGACCCCTCAACGGGCTGCGAGTGGAACACATAAGGGAGAACTATTTCAGCCGGACGCGCAGCAATCTGATGAAAACTCCCCTGAGCTTCCAGCATGACGTCACATTCGTACAGCCTCCAGTCGCACAGTACGTGGAACTACGACGTGGCACTAGTGACGTTTCAATGGAGGGCATCGCCAGGTAAGTGAAATTGACCAAACAATCGCGGGGCAAAGGGTAATGGGCAGGTGTATACATATATCACGTTTCACTTTCGCAATTGTTTACGCGCTAACAGTTTTGGAGCCACTGGCACTGCACTAGTCAGCTGTGCACCTCGCTTGGCAGGTGAAATTTCTGTACACGTTTGCATTTTGCGCGTTGGGCGCGAACGGCGGTGGCACTCGTTAAAAACACTTGCAGGTGTGCTCAATTACCTCGTCAATTGGTCGCTGATTGGGTTTGGTTAAATGCACTTTTTACGGTCGGTCGGGCAGTTTCGGCAGAGCAGAGGTTTGTGGTCCGAAACAACAAAAACACCTTCGATGGAATCCGAAAACAGCGGGAAATACCATAGAAAAATACCACGGAAAATAGCTAGATTTTTAGGATTTTTTTCTGGCCAACGCAGCCACACTCGCAGCTCTCTCGCTCTCTCTCGAGTTACTCTCAGGAGAGCCATGATACGTATGTATAATGGCACTTACGTTTTCTTACCAATTGGTTGGATTCCAAGATTTCAACATTTTAGTTCTTCAGTTCTCGGCTAGAGGGCGCTTGTTTTTATTGGTAATTGGTAAGGCGTTTTCGATGACCGCCAGGAATAATAAAAAAACAAGAGAGAACGCTATAGTCGGGTGCCCCGACTATCAGATACCCGTTACTCAGCTAAAGGGAGTGCGAAGGAGATGGAGAAAAACTTTGATCCGCCGTAACTTTTTAACGAATGGTCCGATTTAAAAAATTTCTTCTACATTTCGATAGGTATTGATAAACACAATAAAACTGCATTTTTACTTTTCCAAAATATTGAAATTTTTAAAATCGTATATAAGCTATTGTGGGCGTTAGAGGGGGCGTGGCACCCTTTTGAAACAAACTTGCGCTGCGTAGGAACTCCTAGAATCTGCATGCAAAATGTCAATCTTCTAGCTTTTATAGTTTCCGAGATCTCAGCGTTCATACAGACAGACAGACGGACAGACAGACGGACAGACGGACAGACGGACAGACGGACATGGCTAGATCGACTCGGCTAGTGATCCCGATCAAGAATATATATAGTTTATAGGGTCGGAAACGCTTCCTTCTACCTGTTACATACTTTTGCACGAATCTAATATACCCTTTTACTCTACGAGTAACGGGTATAACAAGAAAGGAAGCAGATAAAGTAATGCTCACTCGGTGCAATTCCAGAGATTCCAGATTCAGCGTTTCTATTTATTTAAATTTTGTTTTTAAGTAGTCAAGAATCAAAACGCCTACTTCCTACAAAGTTACAATGAATTTTCTTATATTTCTTTGAATATTCCTTTGGGAGCTTTTAGATATAGTGGTCCGATCCGGCTCGCTCATATGTCGGATATGTACTACCTGCAATAGAAAGAAGACTTTCGGGAAAGTTTCATCGCGATAGCTTTAAAACTGAGAGACTAGTTCGCATAGAAACGGACAGACGGACAGACGGACATGGCTAGATAGACTCGGCTATTGGTGCTGATCAAGAATATATATACTTTATGTGGTCGGAAACGTCTCCTTCACTGCGTTGCAAACATCTGACTGAAATTATAATACCCTCTACAAGGGTATAATAAAAGTAAAACATTGTTACTTTGTAGGAAGTAGACGTTTTGATTTTTGACCATAATCTATCTGGAAGCACTGACATTTATTTTACCTGTAAGGGTATATAAACTTCTTTTGATTCATGAAATAAACTTTTACCGTGAGACTTTTATTATATATCTCTCAAGAAATAACAGTTATGGGTGGGTGCATTTGCTATAATAGCGGAACCACCCTTGTGACATAGCGGATACACGCTCCCGACTTAGCATCCGATTTTTGGTCAAAAATACTGGGTTTTAGGGGATATATTCATGGGGCACAGGAATTGCTTAGCGCTGAAATCGTGTAAAATATATATTGATTCACATAAGAAACATATCTGTGGCACCATTGATACAATTGTAACCGCTAAGAGCCGCTGTTCCCGCCGAAAAAACCTCTCTTTTTGTTTCGGAACTTATTCGTTTTGAGCTCAGTAGATGGTAAAGAACACTGGAAGCAATACATTTTTAAAATAAATAGTTTTCATTTGAAAAACAAACAAATTATACCCATTACGTACCCATTACTCGTACACACAAAAAAATATTGTCAATTTTGTCAAGGATATAGGTGTGTGTCTTTGCTAATTGCTTGTATTTGTTTTGGTGAAAGTAACTATTTACTTAGTAGAATTGACTATTTTTTGTGGTTGGGGACTGATTGACAATTATAACAGTTGATATTACCAAGTGTACAGTAAAAGGGTATATTGTATTCGTCCAAAAGTATTTAATAGCTAGAAGGAAGTATTTCCGACCCTATAAAGTATATGTATATATCCTTGATCAGGGTCACTAGCTGAGTCGATCTATTCATGTCCGTCTGCCTGTCTGTCCGTCCGTATGAACGCTGAGATCTCAGAAACTACAAAAGCTAGAAGGTTGAGATTTCCCACACATATTCTTGGGCTTCCAACGCAGCGCAAGTTGGTTTCAGCCGAGGGACACGCCCCCTCTAACGCCCACAATCGCCTTAAACAACTTCTGTTCCTTACAGGGGCTCCACAGAATTCTCTTCCAAAAGCAAATCTTGGTGTCACAGAAACCGTTTCAAAATAAAGTAGACGATCTAAAATCACCCACCAGTAGGCTTTGAAACAAATTTTATTCAAATCAGAGCAAGTTTTTCTCCTCTATAGAGTCTGTGACACCGATTCGTCGATGGTTTCTGACTATAACTATATCGATATCATTCATTTATCTTTTACTCTACAAGTATCGAGTTTGGACTTTAATGAATATTTAAGAGGATATGAGTACTTCCTTGTCCGACAATCAAAGCATATTCCACAAATATTATTATTTTTTCTAGCAATTTCTCTCTGGACTTTAATGATTTCGTGGCCCACTCGTTGAAAACAGGCGGAGTGCATGCTATTAGTGGAAAATGGGATCTGAAAGAGGTCTCGGTTAAAGGAAACTTAAAGAATGCTCTCATAAATCAGTTAAACCTAGTTGATGATATAGTAAGAGTACCAGAAAATAATAGCAGCATGAGTCCCTTGACAATTGAAGCACGGAAAACCATCCATAGTGCCACTATAAATTACCTTCATAATAACCCCGCTAGTCTGGTGGCCGAAATCCCACTAGACAAGTGGATCAATGAAGCAGCCTATATCTACGGGAATCACAGCATTGCTGGCACTACCCGCCTGGACAATGTGAATCTCTACAACGATCTCATCGTAAAGGGGACTGTAAATGGCGTTCCCTGGCAGTCAGATAAGCTGCTTTTGAGGGACCAGAAACAGGATATTCAGGGATCCCTGCTGGTGGCCAACAACCACCCCGTGCGGCAGCAAATATTTAGCAACAATGTGGAGAATCTTTGGGTGGACTCTGTCAATGGGCTGTCGGTGAATGAGTTGCTAGCTAACAAGGCACAAAACCGTCCAAATCTCCACGTTGAGAGCCAAATGATCTTCACCCAGCCACTAACAGTGGGTCACTACGAGGTGAGCAATGATAATGAACTTATGGATACAAATTACAAAAGAAAGCGGGGCATCAGCACGAATGGAATTGATCTTTGGCAGCAGCTTCGGAAGAACTTTGCAGCTGTAAAAAACAGATTGTCCAGTAAGTAAAGGATAACGTAAAAAGTACATACTCTTAGTTCTTAAATTTCTCCATCAGAACCTCCAAAAGTGCTGGAAAATTTCGCCCTGCTGCAGCAACTTCCTCATGAAGCCTCAGATATCAAGACGATTTCCTCGGAGAACAACGATTTTCTAGCCGTTTGGGAACGCAACTCGAGCCAAGTAATCCTTTACATCTGGCACCCGGATAAACAGCTCTTCGCACGCCATTCAAGTAAGTTATGTAGCTTTATTTGCGTATGAACGTATTTTAAAATCAAGTGACACATTTGACCTTAAGCTAGGGACAAGTGAATTCGACTCCAATCTAAAAACTTACAATACATTTAAGATGCAGCGTTGTGGCACGCACAGAGTAACGCTTAAAGTCAGTGGGAGCCAACAGAAAATTCGAAAAGGAAAAAATTACTATGCTTCCCTTGGCGACCTCCGCTTTAAATCCGTCCAAAAATCGAACCGAACAGTACGTAGATCCGCAACAACACTGACACTTAAACAAATAATACAGAAAATAGCAGGAAGGGTTGAGACAGGTCTACATAACTACAATCAAGTTTGTCTAATATGTAAGCTGATTAATCATTTAAATTTCGAGTATCAGTCGGGCTACTGCTCCAGTTCGTCGCTCTGCACATCGAGTATGGCGCGCAAGATGCCCAGCTCGAGCTTGGCGGAGGCTCGCGAAGAGAGTCGGTTCATCACATTGGCCACGTACAGGCCAAGCGACTCGTGGCGCGAAGAGTTGCACAGATTCTTGAAGAAGGTCGGAGGCAGCGAGTTGTCAAAGTTGCCAAGGTTAATAATCTCGGGTGTGTTGGAGGAGGCGGCGTTGATCTTCGAGTCGAAAATTATGTCGTTCTTGAAGTCCAGCTCCTCGATGTGCGGCGAGAAGCCGTTCGTGGATGCCACCGAGGTGGAAGCAATGGTGGCGGCCGTGGAGGAGGTGGGTCCCCCTCCGTTGATCTGTTGCGCTGCCGGAATGGTGATAATGTTGATGCCCGGCGGCGGTGTCTGGTTGTCCTCGCGCTCCTTCTTGACCTGCATCAGCTGGGCAGTGGTTGTGTGGACGACGTTGCCGGCGGGAAGGGAGTCTGGAACGCTGGAGACCGGCGGAGGGGCGGCTGCGGGCTGAGCTGCCGGTTTCGGACTCGGGACCTTGGACTGCTTTTTGTGTGCTGGCGAGGAGGTGTATTCCTCGGACAGTTTACGCTTCAAGGACTCTGGCAGCTGGATGGTGGTGCGCGAGGAGCTGGTTCTCAGACCACTGGCTGCTGCAGGCTGCCCAGTTGTGGATTTAAGCGCAGCTCCTGCTCCTGAGCCAGCGGTCTTCTTCACGGTGATTCCCTTCTTCTGGAGCACTGCTGCGGCGGCGGACAGCGAGCTGTTGTTTGTGGTCGTGGAGCGCGGTGTGTTGTTGGCCAGCGTGTTGAGGAGCTTCTTCTCTTCGAAGGCCGGACGCGGAGTGTCCACGTTGGGCTTGGAGTACACCCGCTCGTCCTTTTCCGGCGAGCCCGTGCTGTGCGACTTTGTGGGGCTCTCGCCGTCCGAGGAGACCGAGCCCGTGGAGTTGGCCGGCTGTCCGAACTGGGGAGCCTCCTCGTCGTCCTCCGGCTCCTGCACCTCGAGCATCTCGTATTCCTCCACCTCGTCCATGGGAACTTGTTCGCTGCATGGGAGTAGAAAATAGTTAGTCTGGTTTAGGTTTAAAGACTGCTGCAGCCACTTACTCCTCCTCCTCCTTCACCGAGACCTTGGGCTCCTGGTGGATCTGGTGCATCAGGCTGAACAGCTTCCACGCCGAGTTGCCCTTGAGCTTCTCCTGCTCGTACTTCTTCTGCAGCACGATGAAGATGGAGCGCGACTCGTGCACGGAGAGCTTGTTGAGGCGCCCGATCCTGGCCCACGCCTCCTCCTGCTCCTGCTTGCTCGCGCCGCCATTGTTCGGATGCAGCACCTTCTCCTTGGCGATGTCCTGCAGAATCTTGTCCAGTTGAATTGCCATCTTCGTCAGCGACTTGCGGCCCGCTGGTTGCGCGTTCTTGATAATTTTGAAGGCTGTTTGTTTACACCGCGAGCCACGAAATAATATATGTCACTCGGTTTTTTGCACCTTTCGCTTCTCTTTTCCTCTTCTGTATTTGGCGTCGGTAATTTGGCGGAAAATGTGACCGTTCCTCGCGCAAATACCAAAAATGCCGACATTTGGTACAGTAAATTCGAATTGACTAGTGATGGAAACGATACTGGTACAGTGAGCGCCATAAGTAATTCATCCGAAAAAAATTAGCAATTTTCCTGTTGAATTTTTAAAAAACCTCAGAATTCTTTTTTTTTTTGTAGAAAAAAAAGGTCTATAGTTGTTTGTTTGCCGTACGAAAAATTCCCTTTTATAGCCGATCAGCTGTTTCTGCATTGGCGTTTTTTCTATCTCAACAACAATTTTAGGTGTAAAACCGTTATGATTTTATTATTGCGCTGGTAAAATTACACCAATGCCAATTTTAGAATTATGAGGCTGATCGGTATTTGGTTTATATTAAATTCTGTTCTGATTTAGTAATAGGAAGTAAAAAATACCGTTCAGAAAATCAGAATAAATCAGAATTTAACAGCCCAGTCTAAACCCACCTATCCTATCCTATTATTGCATGAACTAATGAACAAATTTAGGTTGCGAATTCAATAGATTAACATTTTTTATTTTGGTTATAATTTTTTAAATTTTTCCTCTTTCCAACGGCACCACATTCACTTGTTCTTGACCCGCTATGCACTTGACGGTTTCCAATCGCGTGGGTCCATTGGGTCCTGCCGGACTACTGACCACGAAGGGGAACTCGTCCAGGCCGTAGCAGGCAGCCGCATAGTTTCCCAGCCGATCCACGGCAATGACGGCGCCCATAAAGTCCTTGTGGTGCTTCAAAATCCGCTGGATGCCCACTGCGGCGGCCTCAGCCGGAGCCTTTCCCGCCCTCATGGCCTCGACGGCGAGGAGCGTGGGTAGGAAGCGCATCATCACATCCCCGTCTCCGGTGGCCACGGCGGCGCCCACCTCGTTGTCCGCATAGGCACCGGCACCCGGAATCGGGGAGTCCCCGACTCGCCCGGGAATCTTGTGACGCGCACCATTGGTGGAGGTTCCGACGTGGATGTGGCTCTCCACATCGATGGCGATCATGCCGATGGTGTCGTGGTTCTTGCGCCCGATCTCGTACTCAGTGCGGGCACGGTCCTCCTTCCAGCGGGTCAGCGGAGTGGGTCGTGGCTTGTAGGGGCCGCAGGAGATCTTGGGATCGGGGTGGACGTTCCACCAGAAATTGGGCTGGCAGTTCTCCGCCGTCCACTGCTGCCACATGTCCTTCGACTCCGGCGTGACCAGCGACTCGGACTCGAATCCCATGGCGCTGGCAAAGGCGGAGGCCGCATCCCCCACCAGCATGGTGTGGTGCGTGTGCTCCAGGACATGCCTCGCCACCTTGATGGCGTCCTTTATGCGGCGCAGGCCAGCCACGGCGCCCACATCCATGGTGCCGCCGTCCATGACCATGGCGTCCAGCGTGGTTTCGCCCGACTCGTCCGGCGATCCGCCGTAGCCCACGGTCCGGTCGCACTGCAGCTTCTCGCACTTGGAGCAGCCCTCCACCACGGCGTTCCGTGTCTGCCGGAGGCCTCCCCTGCTCTGCTTCAGGATGCGCCAGGCCAACACATTGGCAGCCGTGAAGTTCCAGGTGTTGATCACCATGGGCAGCAGCTCACCCTTTGTCCCATTGGAAACCCCAGGCGTTGTGGATTTGGAGCTGCGGAGGGGGGGAACTAAGGTGACAAAGAACTAGCAACTTGCGTCGCTCACCTAAACGCCGATGCCACCGTTGGTTTGGACGAAGTAGTCGTCTCCGCCAGTATGGAAATCGCCATAGACGCCAAACAGAAAAACCAAAGGCATCCTGCCAAGTGCCTTTTCATGGTGAATTCAAGAGGTTTTTACTAGTGGGCGTTGGTCAATTCGCAGTCTACTCTGGTACTGCCTGGGAATCGGTCGAGAACTGCATTTAAATGCTAGCAGTATAACCTCACAACGATGTTTTCTTATCTGTTTGTTGTGATATACCCTCTGAAAGAGTCCTAACCATTTTGTAAATGCGTTTGAAAGGCTTACTTACTTACAATCGTTTTGAAATTTTTTTTAAAAATAATATATCAGGAAAATTTTATTTATCAGTAAATAAGTTATTTATAGAAAAATTACTTCAAATAATATTTTTAAATAGAAGCCATTGAACAACAGTTATGGGTAGATTCATTTTCATCTTTAAAAAATATTAAGAAAATAAAACCTATTTTTTGTATTTTTAAAATATCTCAGACACCAAATAAAATTTAAAAAAAATTTCAAAGAGAAAGTAAAAGTTTACGGAAACAGTTTCAAATTTTGCCTTGCCTTAAAAATTTTAAAAAAATGGTCAATTTACTAAGATTTTTTACAACGTAATTGACTATTTGCAAACTAGTAAGTTATCAAATCACTCACTTTCCATGCATATGTACATATATACCGAGAACTAATTCGACAGTTTATTTATCAACTTAAACAAAATTGAAAAAAAATATTTTACTTGTTCTTCCCCCTCAAAGTAAAGTACTTCTAAGATAAAAAGACATTAGCACAATAGATTTTAAGAAACAATTAAACCAAAATTCGATAAGTTAATTTAGAAAGAGTAAACCTTAGTCCTCATATCTATATTAAAGTGATTTGTTATTCCTAGGCCCGTCAGCACTGACACAGCTCAACAAGCAAAACATGGATAAATATACTAGCGATGCCGACTCCTCAAAGAAATTAGAGTTGGAAGTATTCGGTTTTAAGTGCCGCGCACTACAAGAAGCCAACCAGATTGTAATCCAATGCCTAAACAAACAGAACAACAGCAGGGAAGCAATCTTGGCCAGACGCGATGTAAAACAGTTGTTGGCAGTTGCCGATACAGACGCCATGCCTATTCTACTCAAGACCTCCAGGGCTGTGGAGCTTTGGAAGTGGAGCAATGGGAATTACTCCCTCGTGAGCAGACTGGTGGATGGGCAGGTGGAACAAATAGAGCGCATCCAACGAGGAGCCGGCATGGAGGCCGGTTATGTGGCACTCCTGGCTTCATCGCCAGCAGCAGAAATCCGCATTTACAGGTGCTTTCTGTACTATTTTGAACCGGCTTTTGGGATAATCTTTCTATTCCATTTCACAGCTTTAACACTGCCGACATGAGCGACTTTCAACTAGAACAAGTCCTCGGGCTACAGGACTCTCATCATCCACGGGAAATGCGGTTCATGCATCTGCCGGAGTCGCAGGATCTGCTGCTGTGCGTATCTAATGTGTTGTCACACCAACCGCTCACCATCTACCGGCATCTCGGGGCAGCAGGATTCCAGCAAATCCTCGGCGACAGTGCCCTGCCAAATGCACGAGCCTTGGAAGTGCTCCAGCTGCCAAGCCGAAAGCTCCGCCTGTTGTCCGTGGCCACGGAGGCGGCCGTCTACTTGCTGCAGCCACAATTTACCACACTTTAAGTCACTCTTGTTTTGTTTTTTCTAAATAAAAATTACTTTTTATTAACCGTGTTTGTGTTGGCCGTCAAATACGTTGCTTAGTCGTCGTTGGACTCGACGTTCTCGGTCTGCAAGTTCTTGAAGGTGGACACGGGCACATAGGTCACGTAGGTGTACAGCTTGTTGGGGGAGTCCTCATCGTCGTTGCGACGACGCGCCAGGCGCACGCGGATGCGGAATGGAGTGGACCTGGACGGAATTAACAGAATTAATAGGGGATGATCTTAAGGGGGTTTTAGGGGCTACGCACCTGATACCCTTGGACCAGATGTGCTTGTTCAGACGGGTGTCGATCCTCACATCGGTGGTGCCCATCTCCCGCTCGGCAAACTTGCGGATCTCCTTGATGGCGCGGGGAGCGCGCTTCTTGAAGCCGATGTTGTGCACACGCTTCGCCAAGTGAATGGTGCACTCGCGGGTCACAACCTCGTTGATCGCCGATTTGTTGATTTTCTCGCCCTTGGTCTTGGTCATTGTGCTGATTAGGCCGCAAGGGTGCTATTCAATATCCTGCAAAAGGAAAACAACTAGTTTTAGTCAACATCCACAACATAAACAACAGTGCACATAAGTAAAGAAATGAGATTTATGCCCAGTAAAGATTATCACGCCTGCACACGGTTTTAGTGTCACACACGGTACACGGTACACAGTACACAGACACAAAGTACAATTGGTCCTTGCAAGTATCCGATGCTCTCAGATTCAAGTGTAAAATTGCCAAATTAAGAACCTATTCTTTTAAATTTACACGTGGTTTAGCGTTAAAATAAAAAATTGCCCAATTTACCAACCTCTCCGGAAACGCAACGAAAAGAAAAGGAAAGAAGAAGAGGTAGAGATGTAACTCTCGATAATATCGATATTTTTAAAAACCGCGATACATCGATATATTTTTTTAAACATCGATGTATCACTAACAGAAAGACGCTAAGCAGCCGTAAGTAAACTTTATAAATGAGCAAATTTGTTTCTATGTGTAAAGTTGGGTTCCTCGTGGAAAAATGGACAGATCAGAGGATTGTAAATGAAGTGTAGTGCATTCAGAAATGGGCTGCAGATTATTTTATTTTCGTTTTGTTCCATGAAAATCTCATATATTCGTAAAATAAATATAAGCTAGTATTAGGGTTCAGCAAAACAATCATGTTATAAATAATTGGAGCAACTTATGACAAATTAAAAAAAAATTAAAAAAGTTCTATGTTTTTAGCGATTTATTGAGGTTTTTAACCATGAAAACATCGATGTACCAACTATCGATGTTTTTGCATGTCTTCAGGAGCTAGAGATGAGCAGAAAATAGTGTGGCTGTTGGTGGGATTAGTGCGTCGATAAAACATCGATTGTTCGATTGCCCTTCACCCTGTTCAGACAGAACGGGTTTCTGCTTCATTGTTTTTTCCTACTAGAAAGATTGGGCAAAAGTCGCAATTTTCTAAGTTCCGAGGCGTTGCCTGTCTTTTTCTAGCACGTGTACTTCTTATGAAAGAAAAAGTAGCTTGGAGTCGAAAATTTGGAACCCCCAGAGGTTTTAAAAAGTTTATCCTTGATTGTTCTGCCGACACTTTGCCATGTTAGTAGGTAGGGGGATTCCATAAACTGTTAAATTGCTGAATTGTTGAAAATTCATCAAAAAATTTCAGCAATTAAGGGAACGACCCAAAATATGCTTTCTAAGTTGATTTTAAAATAAATAATGCGTACTGGTGATACTAAAATGTTACAGAGTTGCCACGACTTTTAAAAAAGGTGACAACTCTGGCTTTTCAGCAATTCAACAAAATTTTCAACAGCCCCGAGGCTGTTGAATTGCTGAAATTTCTGAAAGTTTACTTTGTATGGAACAGCTGATTAACAGCTGACAAAAATTCAACAATTCAGCAATTCAACAGTTTAGGGAATCCCCCTGGTGGTTTGTTTATTAAGTTCATTGTTATTATATTTACAAATTTATTGATATCGTTTTATTATAATCATTAATTTTGAGTTGTATCTAGGTTTTATTATATAACTAAAAAAACAATATAAACAAGGTAAAAATCATAAATTTAAAAATGCATAGATTTGGAAAAGAGAATGAGATTAGCGTTAATTTGTTGTTTCTAATGTATTATAAGTAAGTGATATTTTGTTTAAAAAATAATAATAATATTAATTTTCGGTCCCGGTTTTAAAAATATATATTTTTTAAGTTTCTATATTACATAAACTATTATTAAGAACCCATTTGAGCAAACACATGTACGCAAAAACGGAACACAGTGTAATTAATCTATTAATGCGTTTTTGGAATCCCCTAACTGAATTAGAGAGGTGTAGGAAAACAGCTGTATAGATGTAAACAGAATGCTGGAGATTGCTGGTAAATACTAAGTACTATCAACCTGTACGATGTAAATAATAAAAGACTTCACTATAGCACAACTCCTAGCTGTGGGCCTGTTGTGGGGCGTTACCAATCCGTTTATCCGCCTCGGGAGCCAGGGACTTGAGTCAATCAGAGATACGGGCTCCAAGTGGAGGAACTTGGTCCAGGAAGCCCGCACAATCGGCTCCCGCTGGCGATACTGGATACCTTTTGGGCTCAATCAGTGCGGGAGTGCCCTGTACGTGTGGACGCTCCAGAGTGCCAACATTACTGTGGCGGTGCCAGTGGCGAATTCGTTGAGTTTCGCCTTCACAGCAATAACCGGTTATGCGCTTGGAGAAAAGCTGCCTGGGAAGAGTAAGCCAAATCGCATTGCTTACGACTTTCTATCCTATATAAACCTTTTCCACAGAAGTAATCCTGGGCACCCTACTCATCTGTTGCGGCAGCATTCTAATGGTCTACGACAAGATCCTGCAGGAACAGTCGCAAAATCAACTAAATATAACATTCGAATGATCTTACCCTAAACCCAAGGCCAATTGTCTTTATTGCATTCGATAAAAGCATGGTAAAATTAACGGATAAACAGAGCCGCCGCTTATAAAGCCTTGTGCACCGCCTCCACCAGCACCTCCATGCTCGTAATCGGGGTCTGGGGCGTGATTCCGTGTCCCAGGTTGGCGATGTAGCGCGACTTGCCGAACTTGTGCACCATCTCGGTGGTCAGGCTGCGCAGCTCTTCAGGATCGCGGTACATGTCCTGCGGATCCAGGTTGCCCTGCAGCGTGATGTTCGGTCCAACAATGCTGCGTGCCTCCACGGGATCCACAGTCCAGTCCAGTCCGATAACGTCGTAGCCCAGTTCGCTCTGCTCCTTAAGTGAGTGTCCAGCACCCTTGGCGAACAGCGTCTGCAAAGGGACGCAACTCAGTAATAATATTAGGTTGACTAAGACCGACTTACGATGGGAACCAAGGGGATGGCCTTCTTGGTTAGACGGTCCACCAGCTCGTCGCGTATCCTCTTCAAGTAGGGCGCTGCCCACTGCAGGAACTGCTCCTTGGAGAGGTGCTCCGCGGACGACTCGAAGACCTGCAGCATCTGAGCGCCAGCCTTCACCTGCATTTCCAGGTAGTCCACAATGGCGTCAGTCAGTAGGTTGAGGAAAAGCTTGGAATCCTCCGGATAGTCGTTTAGCCAAGCCTTGGATTTCGACATGGTCTTGCTGCCACCGCCCTCAATCATGTAGCCCATGAGAGTCCAGGGCGCTCCGGTAAAGCCAATGAGGGGCACTTTGCCGTCCAGCTTGTGCCGCATCATGGTGATGGCGTCGCCCACGTATCCCAGGCGGGACAGGGCTCCGTCCGGCGTCAGTCGCTTCAGGTCATCGGGCACCACGATGGGCTGCGGCAAAACGGGACCCACGCCCGCGTGCATCTCCACGGTGAGGCCGAGGGCCTGGGGAATGACGAGGATGTCCGAGAAGATAATGGAGGCGTCCAGGTCGAAGCGACGCAGCGGCTGCATGGTGACCTCGCAGGCCAGCTCCGGAGTGCGGCAGACGGTGAAGAAGTCGTGCTGCTTGCGCAGCTCCTGAAACTCTGGAAGGTAGCGCCCCGCCTGGCGCATCACCCACACGGGCACGCGGTCCACCACTTCCCCGCGTGCGGCACGCAGTAGGTTGTCATTTTTGAGCACGGGAAAGGGCTGAAAGTTTTCAATTAGGTCAGTTCCCACGTTTTTCAGCGCCAGCCACCAGAGGCACATCAGCCGAAGTCCAAACGACATGATGTAACTACCGGTGCCACTCTAACCTGCCAGAAAACTCACCTTGTCGTTCGTCATTCTGACTATTGGCTGCTGGAAGGGTTGATTTAAGCACTCCAAATTATTTGCACCAACGATTCTGGTCTAACTTGATGAAATTCGTTACGGAATTTTGCAATCTTGCATGAGTGTGCGTTCTGCCGCACTTTGTTTACGTTTTCAGCTGGTGGCGGGACGCCGGCGATTATCGCCTTGGAAATCGATATTTATAAAGTTTCAATAGCTTATACCCACTGCACACAGCTCATCGGCTGTGAATGCTAATTAAATAGCAGGGAATGCAGTGCTCGATTTGCTGCCCAAGCTTAACACAAATTAATGCAACAAACATCTTTAGTGATCTGTGTATATTCCTTTGTCGTGAAGGATATAGTTTTAAGAATAATTATATCAAAAAAACAGCACTTTATAGCTATAGCTATCCATCTATCGATACCTCCGGGTACCGAAGCAGGAAACGGATAAATTGTTGAATTTTGGTCAGCTGTTAATCAGCTGTTCGATACAAAATCAACTTTCAGAAATTTCAGCATTTCAACAGCCTCGAGGCAGTCCACATTCACCATTCACCAGCCCTTGAAGGAACACGCATAATTCGCGCCGGGTAGGGCAAGGGACCTTGTGTGGATTCACTTTTAGGTTAAACGAATTTTGCCTTGGCGTTTTCCTTGAACATAAGGGCGGCCAAATAATTCCGCATCACTTACGGGTGACGCGGTAACTTAAACCCCACAAAAAAAAAATAAAAAAAAAAACTCGAGGCTGTTGAAAATTTTGTTTAAAGCCTAGTACTCAGTACGACGAAAACTGCTAGCAAACCATAGGAACAAGCGAGAGGCAAATAGGTAGCTTGAGCACTAAGCGCACAATCAGTAGAGAATTTGTATGAAAAATAGCGCTGATTTTAACATGAACATGTCCTAGGAGGTCATCACTGCCAGAAACTAGCGCTTTCTTAGCACCTGTTCATCACCATTTTTCAGCGCTTAATTCATCATCAAATTCGGCGCCTTTTCGGCCAAGAGAGAAATTTTCATCACTTTCAGCACCTAATCACTGCCAAAAAATATACAAATTTTCATCACTTTATTTCATTTATTTTCATTTTAAATTACATGTTATTTGCAAAGTTTGTTTCTTCAAGCTTTCCAGTTTTGGTGTTTTTCTTTTTGGAGCAGTGGAGGTTTTTAACGCATCGCAGCGCAGCGCCTTTTTTAAGGTTTTCTCTGGCTCGCCTGGCTCCACCTGACAAATGGCATCTGAAATAAAAAAGATTTATTACTATAAAACAAAAGACAGAAAGTAATCATTATTAAGGTTTTTAAAAATTAACCTCACAAATAATAATTAAATTCGGTTTCTGATAAAAACTTACCAAGGAAACACGAAACAAAACGTGGAAACGCCCTTAATCTCTTCTTATTTTGTATTCCCTCCAAATTGTAGGTTAATATAATTTCATCTGAAATTATATTTCGAATACTTTTGCTTCATTTTTCTTGCTTCAGCAAGTAGACCATCATCTTGACCTAAAATATTTATAAATAAATAGAACATATGAAATAATAAACAATAAAATATATGATATAAAATAATATGATATAAAATAAATGATATGATATATATAAAACATTCAGAGAATGTAGAATGGAAAACTTACGTATTTATCCGACTTGCTGTCGCTTATAAGGCGCTCAAGGGAAGCCAAGTCCTCTTCAGTTTTTACTGGGAATAATTCCTCCATTTCTAAATGGCTATGAATTTTCTCCTTACTTGACTGCTTAAGAAGCGCGCAAATCGACCCGACGGCATCAGTAAGAGTCGCCAGTCCTTCCTTAACGTCGTGAACCTCCACGAGGACCTGCGGCACATCTTTTTCCTTTTTAAAGATTATAAAAACAGCAATAGATACAAACTAAAAAACAAGAAAGGAAGTTAGCTTCGGCCAGCCGAAGCTTATATACCCTTGCAGATCATTCCTATTAATTAACAAATCGCAAAAATGTTCAATTTTCTAATATTTCTCATTAATTTTCCGATCGTTCCTATGGCAGCTATATGATATAGTCGTCCAATTTTGATTAAATTAAAATTGAAATTCGAAAATATTTAAAAAGAGTCATATCCTAGAGTAGAAGATAATACAATAAAAACCAAAGAAGCTAGAATTTATTTCCTATTACTTTTACATTAATTTTCCGATCGTTCCTATGGCAGCTATATGATATAGTCGTCTGATTTTGATTAAATTAAAATTGAAATTCGGAAATATTTAAAAAGAGTCATATCCTAGAGTGGAAGATAATACAATAAAATCCAAAGAAGCTAGAATTTATTTCCTATTACTTTTCCATTAATTTTCCGATCGTTCCTATGGCAGCTATATGATATAGTAGTCAGATTTTTTAAATAATTAATTCGAAATTCAGATATATTTAAAAAATAACATCCCCAAAAGTAGAAGGTAATATTTCAAAAAACACCGAAGCTAGAATTTTTTAAAGTTTTTTTTTCCCGATTGTTCCTATGGGAGCTATAAGATATAGTTGTCCGATCCGGTCGGCTCCGACATATATACTACCTGCAATAGAAAGAAGACTTTTGGGAAAGTTTCATCCCGATAGCTCAAAAACTGAGAGACTAGTTTGCGTAGAAACAGACAGACGGACAGACGGACAGACGGACGGACAGACGGACAGACGGACATGGCTAGATCGACTCGTCTTGTGATGCTGATCAAGAATATATATACTTTATGGGGTCGGAAACGTCTCCTTCACTGCGTTGCAAACTTCTGACTGAAATCATAATACCCTCTGCAAGGGTATAATAATATTTTTGTATAATGAGTTAAAGGAGTTCATCAAGATACCACATTCAAAAGTCAGATTAAAATTGTGTAAGCTGTTTGAAGCTTCACGGATAAGCCAAATTATATTAGCGTAACCCTTCAACCTCTCCTCAAAGAGGGTATTACTGGAGACAAGCGATTTTAAAACGATAACAAATAGGTGAGACATCGGCAAACAGACCAAAGCCGAACATGAAATGAAAACCAAAGCGAAGCTCATTACTCATGCGCACTGGGTGACGTCGATTTTGTGGCCCAAGGGGTTTTGACCAAGCCCAAGACCTGATAACTCCTCAAGATCCCCCATCTTCACCGCCCCTTTGTAGCCTGCTCCACTGCAGCTGAATGGCGATGACGGGGCACTAAAAAATGTGAGCGAGCAATGAAAATTCACAGACAGTCGTCAAGACTAGCAGCTGAGTAGCGCTGACTAAGTGGAAGTGCGATTAACTTACAAGAGCCTTTTTTGCGGTTTTCCTGCTACCGAAGTCGGGTGTAGTTTTTGTAGGAAAATTAAATTGAAGACACGTTGGCAGGCACTTGAGATTGATATGATTGAAAATTGCATTGCTAATGAGCCTGATTGATTTGTTTGCGGCTGTGGATGTGATAGAGTTAAGAGATAGTGGACAAGGCAAACAAAGTTATCTCATGTGGGGTTTTCTAAATAGCTAACAATAGGTAATAGACATTTTTGTGTACACAGAAAGAAAATTAAAACCAAAAATCCAATCTCTCTTTTTAATGTAATATATTTCGCAAGTTGTGAGTATTCAAAGTATAAAAACTAAAGTTAAAAGAAAATAATTTTAATGTCGTTGCTTTTAACATACAGTCACATAAATCGAGGTATCCCTTTCAATAAATATTAAATTGAGAATGTAGGTCTGAGATCCAATCAATTAGTTTTAATTAGTTTTCCGCTATGCTTTTAAATATGCTAATTTAATTGATTGCCATAGTCCCGACTGTTTTCCCTGCTGTTAGTCATGGGACCCATCGATTTGAGATGTTAATTTTTAGCCGCAGTTTTCTCCAAAGTAGATCCCCAAAAGTAGAAGGTAATATTTCAAAAAACACCGAAGCTAGAATTTTTTAAAGTTTTTTTTCCCGATTGTTCCTATGGGAGCTATAAGATATAGTTGTCCGATCCGGTCGGCTTCGACATATATACTACCTGCAATAGAAAGAAGACTTTTGGGAAAGTTTCATCCCGATAGCTCAAAAACTGAGAGACTAGTTTGCGTAGAAACAGACAGACGGACAGACGGACAGACGGACGGACAGACGGACAGACGGACATGGCTAGATCGACTCGTCTTGTGATGCTGATCAAGAATATATATACTTTATGGGGTCGGAAACGTCTCCTTCACTGCGTTGCAAACTTCTGACTGAAATCATAATACCCTCTGCAAGGGTATAACAAGAAAGAAAGCTAGCTTCGGCCAGCCGAAGCTTATATACCCTTGCAGATCGTTCCTATTAACTTACAAATCGCAAAATTTTTAAATTTCGTATTATTTTAATATTATTTTTTCTATCCTCCCTTTTGCAGCTATATAATATAGTCGTCCGATTGTTGTTAAATTTAATTCGAAACTCGGAAATATTAAAAAAATCATATCCTAGAGTATAAGAGAACACAATGAAAACCAACGGAGCTATAATTTATTTCCAATTAATTTCCCATTTCGATCGTTCCTATGGCAGCTATATGATATAGTCGTCCGATTTTGATAAAATCAAAATTGAAATTAGGAAATATTTAAAAAGAGTTATCCTAGAGTAAAAGAGAATACAATAAAAACCAAAAAAGCTAAAATTTATTTCCTATTACTTTCCAAAAATTTTTCCGATTGTTCCTATTTAAAAAATAATATTTCCAAGAGTAGAAGGTTTTATTTAAAAAAACATTCCGACTTATGTACTACCTGCAATAGAAAAAAGACTTTCGGGAAAGTTTCAAGCCGATAGCTTTAAAACTGAGAGACTAGTTTGCGTAGAAACGGACGAACAGACGGACAGACAAACATGGCGGACATGATTTCAGTCAGAAGTTTGCAACGCAGTGAAGGAGACGTTTCCCCATAAAGTATATATATTCTTGATCACTAGACGAGTCGGTAGGTAGTACATATGTCGGAACGAGCCGGATCGGACCACTATATCTTATGGCTCCTATAGGAATATTAAAAAATATAATTGAAAAACCATTGTACCTTTGTAGAAAGTAGGCGTTTTGATTTTTGACAATTTAAAAACAACATTTTAAGTAGGCATACCTACAAGGGTATATAAACTTTGGCTGGCCGAAGTTAACTTCCTTTCCTGTTTTAAATAATGTAAGAAAAATGTAATCGATGATCTCTCAAAAAAAGAAGAGTTATTTTTTTTTTGAATAAGGAAAATAAATACAAATTGAAAAAAATTAAGGAAACTTTTATTTAAAAAAAATTAGTTTTTACTGCGCAGGCTCTACGATGCCGCCGAGCTGGAGGATGGGCAGGACAGTACACACATCATTACAATTTATATGGTTTATTTTCTAAAACTATATCATGTATGTTACAGCTTAATATAATAAAATTTCGTTTTTCTTCTTCATCGGGATAGTATCTTGTCCAAGTAGTTGTGTTGTTGTGACTTTTCACTTTAAAATATAAACCCCGCTTTAAGGAAGGAATCCTGACAGCACTTATGTTTCTTTAATTTCTTGAAATCCGTCGTGCACACGTAGCATTGCGAACACTTGACGTTGTTATTTTCTTGAATGCAATCGCTTGCATGTTTAACGGAGCAATAATTTATTAAACCGCAAATATTGCATTGGCCCTTCATACTAGGTAAGTAGAAAAGCGTTTCTTGGTCTTCTACTATTTCATTTTTGTTTCTTGAATTATATTGAATAAATGAATAGTGTTTGAATTTGTCATTTGCTAAAATGTAAGGAAAAGATTTTTAAATGAATTCAATTAAAATAATTAATAATAAGTAATAGTATGAACTACTTACAAGGATCTATATATTCTTCATTAAAATTTAATTGTTGTTCCTGTTGTTCCTGTTGTTGCTGTTGTTGCCGTTTTGGCGGTTGTGGCTGTTGTTCCTGTTCTTGTTTATTTCCTTCATCATTTCCTCCTTTTCTTTTTATTAAATATCTTTTGCCTTCTAATAAAAATTCTGCATCCGCCATCTTGATCCTAGCGAGTGATAGGAATAAAGAAATAAACAAATGTATTCAGTTCACTCGCTTGGATCAAGATGGCGGAGTACCAACTCACCAAGTTTTGAATGACGAATGACTGCAAAGTTCAATGCGAAGAACTGGCAGAACGCTGCGTTGTTGCCGAACTTTACCTAACGGTATCATTCCAGATTTTGTTATCCTTTCTTTCTTCACACGTTTTCGGTGCGCACGTTTCTCCTACACTTAGCTTAGAATACTTTTTTGGGCATATGCGAATTTACATGAAAAACGACTTTACATTAATTCTAAAAACAAATTTACACCTATTATCTGAAACCTAATTTAAATGCAATTTTTAATGAATATATGCAATATTTCTTTGACCGATGCTATGACAGCTATTAGATTAGCTATTAGCTATTCACTAATCAATTTTAAAAACTTCTAAACCTTGACTTAAATTGATAAATAATGTCTTAATCCCAATTTATATGGAAAAATATTGAAATAGAACCAAAATATTACCTTTTGAACTAATATTGGGGAAACTTAAAACCCTAAAAGTAAATTTTATATATGTACATGTCACCAATTTTTTTTTTTGACAAATTTTAAAAATTAACGTAAACCGAAATAATTTTACCGTCTTACCATTACAAATACAAATTTTTTAAAATCCCTGCCAATTAATTTGAATATGCGGCGTGGGCGGTGGATGAAAACAATGGTCCGATTCAAAGAGCAACAAAAACCGAAATTACAGCTTTATCTTAATAGTATATGTACAAAATTTCTAAATTGTATCTCTAAAACTAGAGTTTATGCCAAAAAAATAGACTTTTTTCCCATAGTGCCATGGTGAGTTTAACGTGATTTTATATATCTGCACCGCACTCACTCACTGTTTTGTTTTTGTATGTGGACTCTCAACATTATTGCTGTTGCTTCGCACACGTTGGATGCGGTGAGAAATTGAAGTTCGCTTCGAACTTGGCCTTGAATTGTCTCTCAGCAGAGGTTCGGGCAGAGGCAGAGCGAATGGTGCCTCTAATAGAGGTGGAGAAACATCGATGTTTCTCAAAAATTGTAAAACATCGATTCATCGATGTTTCCATCGATGTTTCTCCACCTCTAGTCTCTTTTCTTACTCTATGACTATGATGACACCACCTTGGACGTCGAGCACTAGGAGCGTTTTTTTTAAGTCGTGTCCCCTTGAGGCCTAATCGACTGTGTTCCATCCCGCGTTGAAAAAACCTATTAAATTTTAAAATCTACTTACCACTAGAACTGGCTAAAGGGAGTTGGGGACCTAGCCCTGCTGGCCTCCTTCATTCATCCGCTGCCAGTGCTCCCGTAAGGCGATGTGGTCAGCGTCAGGTACGTAGTCTGACAATCCTTGGCAAGCCCTGAGGTGGCCACTTGGATTTTTTGACCTGGATGCAAACGGACACTTGCGGCAGAAGTAAACCAGAACCTGATCCAAGCAGTTATGAAAAACTGCTTTATTCCTCTCATGGCACCTGGCCCAGCACATCCAGCACTGGAATGGGACCGTAGTCCACAGGGTCCCATTCGCATCCCTGTGACTGACTGGCACGGCGGTAGGAACGCTACCGTACCAGCCAGCCATTTCGGGGGGTGGACCAGGTGCGCAGAGCCACGCAACTGCTGGAGCTGCTGTGGCTGTGGCTGCTGGACTCCGTCTCCTTCGCCTTCTCCTTCTCCTGGTCCTTGATCAGGTCCTTTAGGGCCTCGATCGTCTCCGCCCGCGCCAACGGGTTCTGGTAACGCCAATCGACGGTCTCCAGGACGTTGGCGATCATCCGCAAGGTGCTTATAACGAAATTCATTTCAGTTTTCACAAACAAAGGATTTTAACAAGGAACTGCGTCGTAATTGGTAGCCAATTGGTAAGATATCGATATCGAGGGATGGGGTTAAAGGTTAAATCCGGGATATCGCGCAAGGGATGGGGGTTATCGTTTTGTATTCAAATTTTCAAGGCCCTGGCCCTGGTTTAACCCAATATAAAATTTGTGCTTGCTAAAATATATTATTAAATAAATCGAAAAATTATACGTACTTTAACAATACAAAGTATTACTCTATGCTCCTGTTGTACGTGTCGGGGAGGGGATACACGGTACCCCGTTTTCCCCAATGCATCTGTGGCAGTTGAGGCCATATACCCACAAAGGGGCAATTCGGGCACGGGTCCCTTTTGTATTCCGCAATAAAATTGTGGGATATCGCGTTTTTTTTCATCACGAGGCACGTCCAGCACGCACTGCACTGGAACGGCTTGGTCTCCCAAAGCCGCCCCCGCGCATCTACGTGCTGGACGCACCTTTTAGTCACATCGACTCGTGTGAATTGGGCGCTGTCCCGTTCGACCCTTTCGGATCGCGAACTACGCCCTGCGCTGCGGCTGTGCCTGTGGCTGCGGCTGCGGATCCTTTCGCGGCTCCTCTCATGAGCGCTCATCTCCCTCTGCAAAAAAATAGAATAAATAAATAAATAATAAATTTATTATTGATATATGTTTACTATTAAGTACTTTAGCGGACTCGAGGTCATTTTTTATACCGAAATTCTGTTTGTCAGTTTGTCCAAAACATGGTTTTAAAGCAGGGTTCAAAAAATAACACACACAGTAAATAACTTGTGTTATTAACATGTTATTAACACGACGTGTTTTATAAACAATGTGATTTTAACACAGGACGGGTTTTTCAATCAGCTTAAATGTCAAAAATGTATGTTATGGTATTGGGGTACATTGACTATGGTCAAAACAAAAACTTCTGATTTCAAACAAAAACACCTCTTAACGAGGTATAAAAATAGTGACGATTGCACCTTCAACGTACAAAAGTTCTGATACCAACTTTTGTGACGAAAAATGATTTTAAATGCGACTAAATAAAAGTCCTGCCTAAAATTTATTCATTCGGCACGCTACAACAGAAAACTTTCGTGTAGATACTAAATATTTGCTAAAGCTGGCCGAACGAGTAAATTTATTTAGTCGCATTTCAAATCATTTAAGCAAAAATAAGCACCAACACAAATGCAAGCGCGAAAAACCATCAGAAGCTCGAACCAACACAAATGCAATAGAAAGAGAATGATAGATCTCCATCCAAAATGGGAATGGAAAATAATGTCCGAGTGCATGATTTAATAAAAATAGGTATTTTTTCATATTTTTTCGAATTTTTCTTCGAAAGTTGACTTTGTATGGAAAGGCTGATTAACAGCTGACCAAAATTCAACAATTCAGCAATTTAACAGTTTAAGGAATACCAGAATATTTTTCGACTATTGAAACTAACAGTACTAGGCTTTAATTAAAATAATCGATTTATTTGAAGTGCAGTGTGACCGAAGTTATCAGAGTTAACCCGCTTTGCATGTAGCATGGTCTTGTTGTAAATTGGGTTCACAAACAGAAAACAAACATAGAGTAATAAACTGTATAGAGACGCCATTTGCTCTGCCCGAACCTCTGCGTCAGAACGGTGCAGATGTATAAAATCCCATGAAACTCACGATATTTATATTTTTATTGTTGAATGCGGTTAGCACCAAGCTTTAGGAGGAAATTTGCACATACTTTAAGGAATTACTTCAAACTCCTTATATTAAACTTTTTAAAGCTGGAAAGATAAGGTGAGTACTCGCACTTGACTTCAAGACTTAAAAAATTGGCAATGTTGTCTGTACTGTTTTTGAATATTTTTATACCCGTTACTCGTAGAGTAAAGGGGTATATTGTATTCGTGCAAAAGTATGTAACAGCTAGAAGGAAGCATTTCCGACCCTATAAAGTATATATATTCTTGATCAGGGTCACTAGCCGAGTCGATATAGCCATGTCCGTCTGCCAGTCTCTTTGTCTGTCTGTCCGTATGAACGCTGAGATCTCGGAAACTATAAAAGTTAGAAGATTGACAGATTATAGGAGTTCCTACGCAGCGCAAGTTTATTTTAAAAGGGTTCCACGCCCCCTCTAACGCCCACAATCTCTTAAAATTTCAATATTTTGGAATAGTAAAAGTGCAGTTTTATTGTACTTTATTTAGTCGCATCTAAAATCATTTTTCGTCACAAAAGTTGATATCAGAACTTTTGTACGTTGAAGGTGTGATCGTCACTAGTTTTTCACCTCGTTAAGAGGTGTTTTTATTTCATATCAGAAGTTGTTGTTTGTTTACTTTTGCTCTCATAGGTGCTAATATAAACATTTAAATTTAAATTGGTCAATCATAATTTGTAAGCCATTGTATTTAAACGAATTAAGTTAAAAAGGCGATGAAGTATATCAAAATACCTTTTAAACGAGTTATAGCACATGTCTGTACCTTTAGTAGTGTAGAACTTACAAACTAACGAAATTTAGCTATTTTTATCTTTTTTTCCCGCTAAAGTAGAACAAAAGATTCTTATATGGAACTCTTAAGTGCAAATTTACTGATTCCATGACGCAAGTAAATCTAAATTTAATGTTTTCCCAAGTTAATAGGAATGAACGGCTTCCTGTCTTGTTTTACTATTAAATATTTTGTATTTTTAATTAGATGTGGAGAGGAAAATGTTTACCGGTTTCTTAAAGGGCAAAAATGGAGACATTTTTAGTCGGATGCCATAGATTGGCTCTTTGAGAGAAGGTGTCCGGTTCTTTAGGACCACCGACACCTCTGCGGAGTACTGTATCGAAATGGCGCCACGGACAGCCTTATACGCCATGCGTATAGGAACACTACGTTCAAGAAGCATACATATATAGCGGTGGTGGACAACTATATAGACGTCTCCCGCAATATCAGAGAGGACCACGCACGCTCAATGTGCATTGTGGAGTT